ATGTGACCTAGTGCTTGCACTGACATATGTTTGCCATACAACAACGAGATGCATCGCGACAAAATTTATCCTCAAACGATAGATGATATATGTAAGTTCAAATACATTTGGTTACAACAAATAGTTTGCGTCCTTTGGGCACGCCAGAAACCTATGATTGTGGGTTCGAATCCCGGTTCGCTCCCATTATGTTTCTAGGTTTGTCAGCACCATGCCCGTGCTCGTGGATTTCACGGAAGAAGTAAACGTCCGAGACCTGCATCACTTCGGGCTTTCCTCCCACATTAAGCTGGAACGATGTGACGTGAATGGAATACTGTTAAACACGGCGATAAACCCAACTCAATCACTCACTCACTCACTCACTCACTTAACTCACTTACTCACTCACTTACTCACTACATCAAATAGTTTTGAATAATATGATCATTAGATGAGCAATTTGATTATTTTTTGTCAGTATGATGAGTGGTTTTAAGACGCTTTTAGTATACACGGCGGGGGACACCAGCAATGGGCTTCACACATTGTGAGTGAGTGAGTGAGTAAGTATGGTTTTACGCCGCTTTTAGCAATATTCCAGCAATATCACGGCGGGGGACACCAGAAATGGGCTTCACACATTGTACCCATGTCGGGAATCGGACCCGGGTCTTCGGCGTGACGAGCCAACGCTTTAACCACTAGGCTACCCGACCGCCCTCACACATTGTGAATCGAACCCGGGTCTTCGACGTTACGTGCAAACGCTACAAGGTTACCCTATGCCACCGCCTTTTATCTGTTAAACATTACCGCAGTGGTCAGTAACAGAGGCAGTGATATTACATCTAGAGACCCATGATGATCCGGGGTAGAATAGGTTTTCAGCAACCCATGCTTGCCGTGAAAGGCTACTATGCTTGTCGTAAGAGGATATCTAACGGGATCGAGTTGTCACGCTCGCTGACTTGGTTGATACATGTCATCGATCCCAATTGCGACCGCCGTCATATAGCTGGAATATTGCTGAGTGCGGCGTTAAACAACAAACTCACTCACTCACTCACTCACTCACTTTCAGTACAGGACGTCAAAATGGCCGACACACGCGATGTGGGAGATCACAAAGCTGGCGGTGAACGGGTAGAAATTAGTTGCAAAACAAATGTTAAATTTGCCGATCACTTCATATCACAACAAAGACTTGTAAATCAATTTAAAATGACTTTCACTGTCGGTCTATGTACAGTAGTCTCAGTATTGGTGTGCATTCTTTCGTCAAAATGTGTCGTCATGTGACTGGCTCCTCGTCAAATCGAAAATCCGTATATTCTGTAAACCTCCCATTGCATGAGCGCGCGCGTGTGCGTGTGCGTGTGCGTGTGCGTGCGCAGAGAAGAGAAGTAAGTAAGCAGAGATGTGTCCGATATGATCCAATTAATGACGAATCTAATCAGTCAAGTGTTACCACAGAGCGTCTTTATTATTATTAGATATGCTGCATGTGATTTCCAAACTTTACACGCTAAACCTGCATTGTTTTGCGGTGGATCATGCAACAAAGTTCCACTAATAATGTGACGTGATTGTAAATTTTGTGGTGCAGGTCCCCGTTCCACAAGTCAATGGTAGCGCAACGACAGTCGGAAGCCTATGAGGTGAGGTGAAATTGGGTTTAACGTTGCGTCCAAGATTATTGCACTTATATAGCGACGTGCATGTACGTGTGTGTGTTTGTGTGGCTGCTTGTTCTAGTCCGGACTGATACCGATTTATAGTGCTAGCTCACTGAGATACCATGCCGCAGTTTAACATGAGTACCCACTCAGACACAGTATACGGACCCCGAGCCGACTAGTCCTTGTTTTAGCCTCTTAATATCGAGCGCCAGACCGGGTAACAACAAGTACCATCTTTTAACGTCTTTTGGTATGACGCGGCCGGGGATCGAACCCCGGACCTTCCGCTCTCCGGGCGGACGCGCTACCACTAGACCACGGAGGCGATCGTAAGTCTATGAGTTACGATAACCTTAGCGCTACGATAGCTTTGTGGAACGGACTCCTAAGTTGGTTGGTTTGTTTGTTGTTTAACGCCGCACTCGGCAATATTCCAGCTATATGACGGCGGTCTGTAAATAATCGAGTCTGGACCAGACAATCGAGTGATTGACATCATGAGCATCGATCCACGCAATTGGGATCGATGAAATGCATCAACCAAGCCAGCGAGCCTGACCACCCGGTCCCGTTAGTCGCCTCTTAAGACAAGCATAGTCGCCTTTCACGGCAAGCATGGGTTGCTGAAGACATAATCTACCCCGGATCTCCACGGGTGGAATGAGTAAATTGTGTTTATTTAACGCCGCAATTGCAGTTATATCACAGTGTGTCAGTTGAATGTTGCAGTAAAACCCCTAAAGTGATATATGTCTCAGACGTTTATACAACTTCGGTGAAACCCACGTCGCCTCTCACGGCAAGCATTGGTAGCTGAAGACCCTTTATATCCCGGATACTCAATTGTTAAATTAATGCGTGTCAAATTTTGACGTGTTTAAAGTATGATTCTGTTGAACACAAATGGAGTAAGCTGTGGATTCGCGTATGCATATATATAAACGGAAAAGTATTAAATAAAACACTAAACTCACTCCCGTGTAATACCAATGCAATTTTATGAAACTGGTGAAAACTTTTGGAATCTGACTCGCCCTCAGAAAGTATAACTATTCACGAGTTTCATAAAATTGGTATTACACGGGAGTGAGTTTAGCATTCTATGTGACATTATACATACGTCAGCAACAAATACGTCTCTCAGCAACAAATAAGTCTAATAGCAACAAATGCGTCTGTCACTTACATGTATAATACATTATGAAATATATACTGTTCATACTGTTTCATCAGTGGGATGCATTGACTAACACCTTCATATACAGGATTATCTTGAGACCCCGCTGAGGTGTCAGGTATATGACAAGGGGGCGTTTCTGATTGTGATAGTGTGTAGAGGAGGTCATTGTCCTCGACAGTGTTAACCTTCTATGTTATAATAATGTGATCGGACAAAGTCCATGGACATTTGGACAACAGCTGATAGGACGTTTGCATTACGTCTTGTGATGATATAACAGTAAGTAAGCCATATACGTTCAAATGTATTTTACTGTCGATTATTTGTCGAATGACATGTGCCGATAAGAGTACTAAAGTTAAGTATATAGTGAGGGGCGTTTGTATCTTAACGTGTGATAACCTGAGTGAGTGAGTGAGTGAGTTTGGTTTTACGCCGCTTTTAGGAATATTCCAGCAATATCACGGCGGGGGACACCTGAAATGGGCTTCACACATTGTACCCATGTCGGGAATCGAACCCGGGTCTTCGGCGTGACGAACGAACGCTTTAACCACTAGGCTACCCGACCGCCCCCCTGAGTGAGTAACCGAGTGACCGAGTGACCGAGTGAGTGAGGGAGGGAGCGAGCGAGGGAGCGAGCAAGCCAACCAGCCAGCCAGCCAGCTAGCCAGTCAGTCAGTCAGTGTGTCAGTATGTATGGTTTGACGCCGCTTTTAGCAATACTCCAGTAATATAACTAAAATTGGGCCCCACATATTGAATTCAAGTTGTGAATCGAAACGGGGCCTTCGAGTTTGCCGAAATTCTGTTTCTACCACATCCGTGGGTTTCACCGAAGTTGTATAAACGTCTGAGACATATATCACTTTAGGGGTTTTACTGCAACATTCAACTGACACACTGTGATATAACTGCAATTGCGGCGTTAAATAAACACAATTTACTCATTCCACCCGTGAAGATCCGGGGTAGAATAGGTCTTCAGCAACCCATGCTTGCCGTGAAAGGCGACTATGCTTGTCTTAAGAGGCGACTAACGGGATCGGGTGGTCAGGCTCGATGACTTGGTTGATGCATGTCATCGTATCCCATGGATCGATGCTAAGGATGTCAATCACTAGATTGACTGGTCCAGACTCGATTATTTACAGACCACCGTCATATAGCTGGAATATTACTGGGAGCGGCGTTAAACAACAACCAAACAAAACAGTAAAGCCTCGTTTATCCGGACGGCACCGTTCCCAGTGAAATTGCCCGATAAAACAATGTCCAGGAATATTGAATTATTGCTAATTAAATTGCTTTTTGCAAAAAGCTTTCAACATTTCTTTTACGGTAGAGATGTGGAGGACATTTTCAAATTTGACGAACCGTAACAAAAATGATGACTTCCACCATAACGTTCCAGTATTTTGTTTTATGAACAATTGACTTGCCTTTGCACGTGTTTATGACGGTACGGCATGTGGGACAGGATATGCTCACCTTTTTTGCGAACACCTTGCGTTATCACTATGTGATAGTGATTCATAAATAAAAGCAACAAAACACTTTCCATATTCATAAGAAATCTCTGCCAAAAACAGTTTGGAATGTACAATTCCGAATACTGTTATTGTTTTAGCTGAAGTACTCTACTCAGCGCTAATAAGCGGTGCTATTTGGTGTGTGATTAGATTAATGTAAGGTTGGATGAAGGTAGGGATTGTCCTGTAAACCTGACAGAGGACATTTTGTTAAGATATAAATCCACTGATGCTTGAGAGGAGGGAGTGTCGCATTCATATTGAGTCGCCTTTTGGGCTGGGGGCCAGCGGTCGCATTCTTTTAGAGACGCATTAATTTCACGTTTTACAGTATATCATGAGCATGTGTTTATGAATCACTATCAAATAGGGATGATACCAGGTGTTGGCTAAAGAAGAGCGTATCCTGTCCCACCGTTGACACCCGTTACATGCTTGTGATATACTAGTTGTCGGAATCGCACAATCGATTTCTTATGATTATGGAAATGTTTAATGTCGCTCTTTTTTTTGTTAATAAATAAATAATAACAGCATTGGTCCAAATCTGGAACATGTTCATATAATATCATATATATACGAATACCAATAAAAGTGCGTGTTTTGTCTCTGTTTTTGTAGGAATTTATCGGGAATGTCGATATCGTGGAAAACAGAGTTGAGTGTTTAGATACTTTATCTCGTTCAACATCGGATGACCAGCAGGGGGATGGAATCACGACGGCGGCTTCATCCACGTGCCAGAGGTGAGAACAGAGGGCAGATGAAGATGAGGATGTGTTACTTCGTACTTGTGTGTGGTTTGGAAATGAAAAATATCCCTAAGTCCCTGGGTCTGTGTACAGAACATCCCCGAGTCCCTGGGTCTGTGTACAGAACATCCCCGAGTCCTTGGGTCTGTGTACAGAACATCCCTGAGTCCCTGGGTCTGTGTACAGAATATCCCTGAGTCCCTGGGTCTGTGTACATAATATCCCCGAGTCCCTGAGTCTGTGTACAGAACATCCCTGAGTCCCTGGGTCTGTGTACAGAATATCCCCGAGTCCCTTGGTCTTTGTACAGAATATCCCCGAGTCCTTGGGTCTGTGTACAGAACATCCCCCAGTCCCTGGCTCTGTGTACAGAATATCCCCGAGTGCCTGAGTCTGTGTACAGAACATCCCTGAGTCCCTGGGTCTGTGTACAGAACATCCCCGAGTCCTTGGGTCTGTGTACAGAACATCCCCGAGTCCCTTGGTCTTTGTACAGAATATCCCCGAGTCCTTGGGTCTGTGTACAGAACATCCCCCAGTCCCTGGCTCTGTGTACAGAATATCCCCGAGTGCCTGAGTCTGTGTACAGAACATCCCTGAGTCCCTGGGTCTGTGTACAGAACATCCCCGAGTCCTTGGGTCTGTGTACAGAACATCCCTGAGTCCCTGGGTCTGTGTACAGAATATCCCTGAGTCCCTGGCTCTGTGTACAGAATATCCCCGAGTCCCTGAGTCTGTGTACAGAACATCCCTGAGTCCCTGGGTCTGTGTACAGAACATCCCTGAGTCCCTGGGTCTGTGTACAGAACATCCCTGAGTCCCTGGGTCTGTGTACAGAACATCCCCGAGTCCCTGGGTCTGTGTACAGAATATCCCCCAGTCCCTGGGTCTGTGTACAGAATATCCCCGAGTCCCTGGGTCTGTGTACAGAATATCCCCGAGTCCCTGGGTCTGTGTACAGAACATCCCCAAGTCCCTTGGTCTGTGCACAGAACATCCCTGAGACCCTGGCTCTGTGTACAGAATATCCCCGAGTCCCTGGGTCTGTGTACAGAATATCCCCGAGTCCCTGGGTCTGTGTACAGAATATCCCCGAGTCCCTGGGTCTGTGTACAGAACATCCCTGAGTCCCTGGGTCTGTGTACAGAATATCCACTAGTCCCTAGGTCTTTGTACAGAATATCCCCGAGTCCCTGGGTCCGTGTACAGAACATCCCTGAGTCCCAGGCACTTTACCCGTGAAGATTCCGGGGTAGAATAGGTCTTCAGCAACCCATGCTTGCCGTAAAAGGTGACTAAGCTTGTCGTAAAAGGCGACTACCGGGATCGGGTGGTCAGGCTCGCTGACTTGGTTGATGCATGTCATCGATCCTAATTGCGTGGATCGATGCGCATGATGTCAATCACTGGATTGTCTGGTCCAGACTCGATTATTTACACACCACCGTCATATAGCTGGAATATTGCTGAGTGCGGCGTTAAACAACAAATCAATCAATCAATCCCAGGCACTTTGTACATCTCGTTTTGCCCTTGAACACAAACTCCATAACACACATCACCAAGCTAACTTATGTTGTGTCGAATTCAAACACCAAATGCCTACTTGTAGACTTGTGAATAAACAGCGACGCTGAAGAGGCGGCGATAAAACACACTGTTGTTGAGAAAATCCTTTTTCAACTACATGTACGTCAGCAAAATGTTGTTTCAGATTTTACTTTCGGCTTGTAAATTGGATAAATACCTACTCCTCGTTCTTGTCTGAGAATGACAGCTTCTCAGTAAAGACCTCGAAGGTTTTCCTTAACATAAATACCGGCAATTGTTGAGAGTAAGTCTCTCTGTTTCAGTGACACGAAATCCCGCCCGACCCAAAACCCGAAAAGATATTGACCTCCACGATGCATGTGGGAAGGGGGACATGGAGCGAGTGACACGCATCTTGTATGAGAGTCCGGTACGCATTAACAAAAAAGGGCGGTACAGGTGGATACCCGTGATGTGGGCTGCGCACCAGGGACAGAGAGAAGTGTTTGACCTGCTTGTGAGTAAAGGAGGTGATGTGTCACAGGTTGATGATGTTGGGGACAACATCCTTCATGTTGCCTGCTATGGAGGACATGTGGAGATGGTGGAGCATCTCCTCTCAAAGGACATTGTGGACGTCAACACAAGGGGCCGGTACGGTTGGACACCTGCAATGAGGGCTGCATTTCAGGGACACACTGAAGTGTTTGACTTACTTGTGAGTAAAGGAGGTGATATATCACGAGTGGATGATGCTGGAGAAAACATCCTTCATGTTGCATCTTCTGGAGGACATGTGGAAATGGTGAAGCATGTCCTTTCAAAGGATGCCGTGGATATCAATGGGAGAGGACGGCGCGGGAGGACAGCGGTGATGATGGCAGGATACATGGGGCATGAGAAAGTGTTTGACTTGCTTGTGAACAAAGGAGCAGATTTGACTCTAGTTGGTGATAATGGTGACACCATCCTTCACTGGGCCAGTGTCAGTGGGAATATGGAGATCGTGAAGCAGGTCCTCTCACCAGACATTATTGATATCAACGCCAGGGACAAGGACGGTCGGACAGCTTGCATGGTAGCTGGAGACAGCAGTCCAATGTATTCCCTGCTTGTGTCACGAGGCTGTCACGTGAAGTAGGTCTTGTGTTGTGTACTGAGGTCTTTGGTATTCTCGATTGTGTCACGAGGCTGTCACGTGAAGTAGGTATTGTGTTGTGTACTGAAGTCTTGTGTATTCTCTGCTTGTGTCACGAGGCTGTAACGTGAAGTAGGTCTTGTGTTGTGTACTGAGGTTTTTGGTATTCTCTGCTTGTGTCACGAGGCTGGCACGTGAAGTAGATCTTGTGTTGTGTACTGAAGTCTTGTGTATTCTCTGCTTGTGTCACGAGGGTATCAGGGGAAGTACATGTAGGTCTTGTGTTGTGTAGTGAAGTCTTTGGTATTTTCTGCTTGTGTCACGAGGCTGTCACGTGAGGTAGGTCTTTTGTTGTGTACTGAGGTCTTTGGTATTCTCTGCTTGTGTCACGAGGCTGTCACGTGAAGCAGGTCTTGTGTTGTGTACTGAGGTCTTGTGTATTCTCTGCTTGTGTCACGAGGCTGTCACGTGAAGTAGGCCTTGTGTTGTGTACTGAGGTCTTTGGTATTCTCTGCTTGTGTCACGAGGCTGTCACGTGAAGCAGGTCTTGTGTTGTGTACTGAGGTCTTTGGTATTCTCTGCTTGTGTCACGAGGGTATCACGTGAAGTAGGTCTTGTGTTGTGTACTGAGGACTTTGGTATTCTCTGCTTGTGTCACAAGGCTGTCACGTGAAGTACAAAATGTAGGTCTTGTGTTGTGTACTGAGGTCTTTGGTATTCTCTGCTTGTGTCACGAGGCTGTCACGTGAAGTAGGTCTTGTGTTGTGTACTGAGGTCTTTTGTATTCTCTGCTTGTGTCACGAGGGTATCACGTGAAGTAGGTCTTGTGTTGTGTACTGAAGTCTTTGGTATTCTCTGCTTGTGTCACAAGGCTGTCACGTGAAGTACAAAATGTAGGTCTTGTGTTGTGTACTGAGGTCTTTGGTATTCTCTGCTTGTGTCAAGAGGCTGTCACGTGAAGTAGGTCTTGTGTTGTGTAGTGAAGTCTTTGGTATTCTCTGCTTGTGTCAAGAGGCTGTCACGTGAAATAGGTCTTGTGTTGTGTACTGAGGTCTTTGGTATTCTCTGCTTGTGTCACGAGGCTGTCACGTGAAGTAGGTCTTGTGTTGTGTACTGAAGTCTTTGGTATTCTCTGCTTGTGTCACGAGGCTGTCACGTGAAGCAGGTCTTGTGTTGTGTAGTGAAGTCTTTGGTATTCTCTGCTTATTTCACGAGGGTATCACGTGTAGTAGGCCCAGTGTTGTGTACAAATACATTTGTATTTCTATAAGTGTTATTTTTGATCTGCTTACCACAAAGCTGTCACGTCACGCAGGTCTAGTGTATATGCACACGTAAGCTTCAGTCAGTACCTAAATAATACCTTTTCTGGATGCATACGTGTTAGCATACGTAATGGGCGATCTTTTTCAATTTATCTTCCCTTCACTAACCCGCTAGGTGCGCTTACCCGGACCGTCCAACCTTCAACTGACGGCGCGATACGAGCACTACATGTTACTATGACGCCTATAGACAGTTAACTAGTATAACCTTCACCTTTATCGGCAACGGTCACGCTTGTGTGCGGACAGCATATATCATCTTTTCGCCTAAACAATGATTTATCTATTGTCATGCCCGGAAATAAATGTTCCTTGATTTAATGATACATCAGCGATGACCACGACTGACATTTGTTTGTTTGTTTGTTGTTTAATGCCGCACTCAGCAATATTCCAGCTATATGACGGCGGTCTCTAAAATAATCTGGACCAGACAATCCAGTTATTGACATCATGAATATCGATCCACGCAATTGGCAGAAAACGATTGAACTGTTGGTTAAAAATAATCTGACGGCCAAAAGAAACTTTAACCACTTCAAAAATGAAATTATTTTTTTTAAAACCCCACAATTTTGCACTAAATCAATACAAAACACATCGTCCAAACACAACAATGCTCTGTGTAGAATGCACGATGTATGTTTAGAAAATGCGAAAAAGTGAAAAACACCGAAACTAAACGTGCAATAATGGTATATAAATGATACGGACAGTATGTCAGACACTCACACTGACAAAAAAACACACCACAGAAATGCCACGAACACCCGAACAACCTCAATGTTGGTTGAGGAATTAATTTGAAGCGGTCACAGCTGTCCCTAAGTCAATAGAATATGAGCATAAATTGATTATACAGTGTTAATGCCACTTAGGTGAGGTGGGGTGAAACGTGGTTTAACGTTGCGTTCTATTGGACCTTTTAGTGGTGTGTGTGTGTGTGTATGTGTGTGTGTGTATACCTCTGTGTGTGTATGTGTATGTGTGTGTGTGTGTGTGTATACCTCTGTGTGTGTATGTGTGTGTATACCTCTGTGTGTGTATGTGTGTGTGTGTGTGTATTTGTGTGTATACCTCTGTGTGTGTATGTGTGTGTGTTTGTGTGTGTGTGTATGTGGGTGTGTGTTTGTGTGTGTGTGTGTGTATGTGTGTGTGTATGTGTGTGTGTGTGTACGTGTATGTGTGTGTATGTGTGTGTACCTCTGTGTGTGTATGTGTGTGTATGTGTGTATACCTCTGTGTGTGTATGTGTGTGTACCTCTGTGTGTGTATGTGTGTGTAGCCCTCTCTGTATGTGCGTAGCTCTCGCTGTGTGTGTGGCTCTGTGTGTGTGTCTGTAGCTGCGCGCGTGTGTGTAGCTGTGTGTGTTGCTGTGTATATATATATGTGTGAGTGAGTAAGTGTGAGTGTGTATATGTGTGAGTGTGTGTGAGTGTGTATATATGTGAGTGTGTTTGTGTGTGTGTGTGTGTGTAAAGGGGGAGTGGGGACGAGGGACGAAACTACTTTGAAAATATGTGTACCTCAGGTTTTACGAGTGAGTGAGTGAGTGAGTGAGTGAGTGAGTGAGTGAGTGAGTGACCTGAAATGACTAAGGTACAGTACGGCCCTCCGACTACTTGGCCACTCGCACCTCGACAATACTCAACAGTTCCCATGTACGTTGCAAAGATGGATCCAAATAAAGCTAGCTAGTCCATACTAAGCTTGGTTTTATTGGCTAGCCCACTGAGATACCATGGCTCAGTTTGACATGGACAACCCCACTCATACTCAGTCAACTCCGCGTCGACCAGCCCTTGTTTAATGCCGAACGTCAGGCAGGTTAAGTGCCAATCCAACAAAATCATGACACACAACTACACAGATGATCAACAGGGTTTTCAGTTCGCTAACTGTAATACATGTTAATGAGTTGACGGTTCCGCCCTGCACGCATTTTCAGCATCAATCAACTCTGACGTCAAACCATTAAAAGTTGGAGCATTGCCTCGGGAACAAAATTAGTTAAATTAAACACTCATTTTAAACCTATGACGTGTGAAGCAAGACTTAAGCATCCATGTCACACATCCATCAGGTTTCAACCATGTCACAGATTTCTCACATCTTCCTTAAGATGAATTTAAAATGGATGATTAATTTACTGTACTTAAACAGTATAAGGCAACGTCATTGCGTTTTTAGACAAACTTTTATTGATAAGGAAACCGGTTGTCGCGACGTCTCAAAGTGGTCGTGAAATCCACAAAAACATTCTTCCTTTTACACCTGTTCAGCGTTCCCTAAAGACTACAGGGGTCTGTAAGTACCCATTTACTCATAATTAAGTTGTTTGTTTGTTTGCTGTTTAACACCGCACTCAGGAATATACCAGCTATATGACGGCGGTATGTAAATAATGGAGTCTTGTCCAGACAATGCAGTGACTGACTTCAAGAGAACAATTGGGATACGATGACATGCATCAACCAAGTCAGCGAGCCTGACCACCCGATCCCGTTAGTCGCCTCTTACGACAAGCATGGTCGCTTTATCGTCAAGCATGGGTTGCTGAAGACCTATTCTATCCCCGATCTTCTGTCTCATAATTAATAACTGCTTTGTGACATTGCGTTTTGTGTACCCTTTGAAGTCTCATTTATATGTTATGTCGTGTTTTGTGCATAATCAAAAACAAAATTCGAAAAACACATATTAGTGACGCACTTTGGAACGATACACGAGACTATGACGTATGGGCTTATTGTTTTGGTACACGTGATCTATTTTATTCTTTTGTGTTCTAATAGTATTATACCACAATTAGAACATTATAAGATACAATTAGAACTCAAAGGAATACACTTGACCATGTACGTTACAACCTGCCGTTTTCCTGACATGATAGCCAGAATGTACCGGTCACATTAGCATGAACATTACTATTAAGTACAACAAGTCTTTGATTGGCAAGTCGGGAGAACATGATGACATAAAAAAGTTTATGGATAACAACTTCTGGTACGTTTTTGGGTCGAATCCCATCCGGAATTCGTAGCCACATTCGCAGCGTAAGGCAGCCAATCGCCAGTCCACAAAGTCAGCGACACAACTCCCCACACGGAGGCTTCCACAACATGGAAACACACACGTAACACACACATACACACACACACGTAACACACACACACACACACACACACACACACACACACACACACACACACACACACACACACACACACACACACACACACACACACACACACACACACACACACACACACACACACACACGTAACACACATACACACACATACACACAAACACGTAACACACACACGCACACGCACGCTCACACACACACACACGCACGCATACACGCGCACGCACGCACACACACAAACACACACACACACACACGTAACACGCACACAATACGCATACTCATTATTTACCTGAAGAAGGGGCAAAAGGTAGCACTGAAACGTCGTTACAAACAATAGAGAGGTTGTTATCCACAAATGTTTTAATAACTGCAACAGATAATCTTTATATTACAGTATTAGTTATATCGAGGCGTGTCAGCTTAATGTGGGAGGAAAGCCCGAAGTGATGCAGGTCTCAGATGTTTACCGCTTCGGTGAAACCCACGAGCACGGGTATGGTGCTGATAAACCTAGAAACATAATCGGGGCGAACCGGGATTCGAAACCCATTAGGTTTCTGGCGTGCCCAAGGGACGCAACTCTGCACGGCGAATCGCGGCGCCTTAGACGACTGGGCCACCCGTGCCCCCGGTATGGTGCTGACAAACCTAAAAACATAATCGGGGCGAACCGGGATTCGAAACCCATTAGGTTTCTGGCGTGCCCAAGGGACGCAACTCTGCACGGCGAATCGCGGCGCCTTAGACGACTGGGCCACCAGTGCCCCCTCCAGGCAGGTACAGACTGTACAGAGAGTTCAAAACTGTATTAAAGACCTGAAAAATATCTATCGTTACATGATTATTAGAGTGAGTGAGTGAGTATGGTTTTACGCCGCTTTTAGCAATATTCCAGCAACATCACGGCGGGGGACACCATGGTTATTAGACTCAGAGCCGGAATGTTAAAACCGAAGGTAGATGGTCAGGAATAGAACAATCACTGCACAAGTATGTAAACTTGGTCCAGAAGATGAATGTCATTTTGTGTTAATCTGTATGGTGAAATCAGAGAATATTACTTACCGAAAATGTATTGCCAATATCCAACCCTGAATAAGTTTCAAATGCTATTATCTGGAAATTGTGAAATATTGCTGAAGAAACTATATTAACTTCATGTCGCATATTATGATAAAGCAGGTTTGCCATGATGTGTTAACATTTAGTGTATATTACGGTTGTCACGAATTTAAAGGAACTGTTAATTTTAGTTCGTTATAACCGAAATCGTTATAAGCATATATACAGCAAATTACCGGAACATTAAAAACAGTTTGTTATATCCGTCAGTTCGTTATAAGCGTGTTCGTTATAAACGTATTCTATTGTATATTAATACGTATGTATTATGTATATAGGACAATGGCCTTCATTCGAGTGAGTGAGTGAGTGAGTGAGTGAGTGAGTGAGTGAGTGAGTACGGTTTTACGCCGCTTTTAGCAATATTCAAGCAATATCACGGCGGGGGACACCAGAAATGGGCTTCACACATTGTACCAATGTCGGGATTCGAACCCGGGTCTTCGGCGTGACGAGCTAACGCCTTAACCACAAGGCTACCCGACCGCACCCCTTCATACGAAATAAAGACTTGACTTCTCCTAGTTTACTCCTTGAGTCAAGCCGGCGGCCGCTGTACTGCGCCAACATGGGAATGTAACTTGTCTTGCCGCTTCGGTCGCCCCGACCACGCTACGGTCCCAGTGACCCACATGTCGCAGTAGACACGCAGTTATCTGTGATGTACTGTGCCCACGTGTGCTGTTGTCACTTCCGCATCACCTTGTCTTCTCTCGCAGGACTGATGACAGTTGTAAGATGAGGTGAGGTGAGGTGAGGTGAGGGGAAATTGGGTTTAACGTCGCGTCCAAGATTATTGCACTTGTATAGCGACGTGCATGCACGTGCGTGTGTCTGCTTGTACTAGTCCGGACTGATCCCGATTTATAGTGCTAGCTCACAGAGATACCATGCCGCAGTTTAACATGAATACTCCACCCAGACACGGTAGTCTGACCCCAAGCCGACCAGTCCTTGTTTTAGCCCCCAAATGCGAGGGCCAGACAGGGTAACAACAAGTATCATCTTTTAACGTCTTTTGGTATGACGCGGCCGGGGATTGAACCCCGGACCTTCCGCTCTCCGGGTGGACGCTCTATCACTAGACCACGGAGGCGTCCGACAGTTGTAAGACAACCTCCAGAGTCAGTTCAGTATATCTCAGACCCGTGAAGATCCGTGGTAGCAAAGGTCTTCAGCAACCAATTCTTGCCGAGAAAGGCGACTCTGCTTGTAAGAGGCAACTAACGGGATCGGGTGGTCAGGCTCGCTGGCTTGGTTGATGCATGTAATCGTATTCCAATGGCGTGGATCGATGCTCATTATGTCAATCACTAGATTGTTTGGTTCAGTCTCCATTATTTACAGACTGACGTCAGATAGCTGGAATATTGCTGAGTGCGGCGTAAAACAAAAAAGAAAAAACCAGTATATCCCACGTTCGTTTAATTTCCAAATGAACGAGGTAGTTTGTAGTGCTGTCGGGGGATGGTTAAGGTATTATTTGCATATCAAAGACGTTTACAGGCGATATATATGCATGATGCAAAAGTAACAAATGAATAAAGGCTCAATTATCTGCCGAAACAAGATTCCAGGCAAAATAGTGAAAACAATTGTATACTCTTGAAAAAAAGAAACGCGTGTACGGAGTTAAGAGATACCCTAACCCTGGTACAATCTACCTGCCCTTTCAGCCTCAATCTCGCCACCCCCAAATATCGTATCAACGCAATTTCCCTGGCTAAATCTAATGTAAGTGAGTGAGTGAACGAATTCAACACCTCTTTGAACAATATATCGGTTTACTCACTGTTTGGTTTACCTGAAACGACAAACGGACACCACTCTTCACGGGGAATTGCGGCACCTCAGACTACTGGGCCACTCGTGCCCTCGACAATAGTCAACAGTACCCATGTGGACAATAGTCAACAGTACCCATGTGGACAATAGTCAACAGTACCCATGTGGACAATAGTAAACAGTACCCATGTGGACAATAGTCAACAGTACCCATGTGGACAATAGTCAACAGTACCCATGTGGACAATAGTCAACAGTACCCATGTGGACAATAGTCAACAGTACCCATGTGGACAATAGTAAACAGTACCCATGTGGACAATAGTCAACAGTACCCATGTGGACAATAGTCAACAGTACCCATGTGGACAATAGTAAACAGTACCCATGTGGACAATAGTCAACAGTACCCATGTGGACAATAGTCAACAGTACCCATGTGGACAATAGTCAACAGTACCCATGTGGACAATAGTCAACAGTACCAATGTGCAGTATGTACGTTACCCAAGGCCCTAAAAGCACGTCACCGTAAATCCATTAATGTACGTGACCGAGTTCTCATACACATAAGCTTTGTATTACAATTACCCAATCTCATTAAAATCAGATCTTAGTTCTCGTCCCGCTTAACAAAGATCTGAGGACACCCAATTACGGGTCACGTCAGACCGACCTTGCGCGAACTTTGACCGACCAATGGAATGACTGACAAGAAGTCGATTTCAGCTAATCAGAAGGCGGCTTTCTTTTGCTTTAGGGCAATAATTGCAAATTGACGACTACGCTTCGAAAACATATTTTGACAAATTATGGATTAAAAATGAAACATGAACAAAGGAACATTCTGGAATGGCTAATAGATGGCCTGACTGTCACTTTCATGATCTGGTAAGCGACGCTCTGATTGGTCGGATGAAAGGTGGTTCTGACGTGACCTCTTGTGGGATGTCCTCAGATCTTTGTTTAGCGGTAGCGAGAACTAAGATCTGATCTGTACAATTACCCTTATTATTTGAAATTCACATTTAACTGCCGTTAAGGAGAGAGATTGAGAATGTTTTAAGGTAACACCGTTTGGAGGTGAAAGATTTGTAATCTGTTTACTCATTATCTAAGCCTAGTACATATGTGACAGGTTTGGTGGACAGTCGAGAGACTCGTGGTATAGGATTTAAGTCGTGTCAGCACTTACATGTATTACGGTGTGCCAAGTCCTAGCACACTGTTTTAGAGTTCAAAGATTCAACAGTGTAAACACACATTTAGGAAACGTGTCGGCCATCTTGAAATTGGCGGCCATCTTGATTTTTTGCAGACAGTCAAAAGTCGAAAACGTTTAGTAGTTCTGAATATCTTTTTAGAAACATAACATGGCTATTTTCATATTATTATTATTTTCATATTTCCAAACTAGGATTGCTTGGAACGTTTAGTATGTTGTTTTGGGGATCTTGTGGAAATGCATTTTGGTGAAATAAATGCTGTTGCAATTTGTTCCAAGTGAAACCTTATTTTGCCTGGACTACTATTGACAAACTCCACAACCACTGTCCGTATTAGCTCCTGCAATCTGACGTATAGTGATGTTAAATGTACTAATAGTTATCGTGGTGGCACATACATTTAGTCATGTGCATATGACACAGGTCAAAAACCAGGTGAAGATATGCAGCGCCGGCGGCGGAAAGTAGTTGGTTTGGCGAGCACGTTCGACAACCTTAACCCTGAAAATCCTGATCCCGTCCAAGTCGGATAAACAGGTTGAATGTAAAATATGCGATGTCTTCTGAAGCAAGTGACTTATGCCTCTGTTACGCAAGCAATGGATGGATACCCGGAAGGATGAGATGGAAAAGGGATTACAGCACCTTCTGGGGTTGAATACTCCTCAGGGAGTTGTTGTGGATGAAACATGAATGTACCAGGGCCAGAGTTATAACTGTACGCACAATAAAATAGGCATTGCGTGGAATGTTATTTTTATACAATACAGATAATTTCATTATTACATCTGTGGATATGCCAACGAATATCAAATTCACATATTTTACTACGTGTTCATAATAGTATTCAGTTGTCCATGTTTGTTTATTTGTTTGTTTGTTTAACGCCGTACTCAACAATATTCCAGCAATATGACGGGCATCTGGAAATAATCGAGTCTGGACCAGACAATCCAGTGATTGACATCATTGATCAACGCAATTGGTATGAATGAAATGCATCAACCAAGTCATCGAGTCTTTTTACCGTTATACTTTTAAAAAAATTTATAAATAAGTCTTGTTTATTTCTCATCACAATATGGCCCCCCTGAAAACCACTTCGGTGGAACACTAGTATATGTCGTTGAAACACTATATATCATACTTTTATACATTCCCATAGTTCGATCAAATGAGGTTTTAAAAGTTGTAAACGTCTAGTAATAAATTCAATTCTAAACTCGCTCCCGTGAAGTGCCAGTTTATGTTATTATGATGATGGCGGCACCTTGTAACAGTTATGCATTAAAAAAAAGTATTGAGAGGGGCGGTGGGGTAGCCTAGTGGTTTAAGTGTTCGTTCGTCACGCCAAAACCACGGGTTCGATTCTCCACTTGGGTACAATATGTAAAGTATTTCAAGTGTCTCCTTCTGTGATATTGCTGGAATACTGCTAAAGGCGGCGTAAAACCATACTCACTCACTCATTCACTCACTCATAACATGACTACAATTCTTCGCAGTGTAGGCTCGTGTGACGTCATGAATACCGGCTTCCTCTTCCGGTGTCTTCCTCTTTACGCATCCCTCTCTACATCGCCATCCAGGAAGTATCAGCAATGCTCATGTCTCCCCTGAAATGTTCCTGATGAAAGAACCCCAGCGTATGATCAAACAACCAGTCCAGCCACAAAACGCAAGTTAATTTGTCATGTGTCATGCTTATCCGTGTTTATGCGTGACGAGTCACGTTCTCTACCGTGACGTCGAGATATATATTAATATATAATAGTTTCAGATGAGGGAAGGCGTTAGAGGGCTCGTGGCGCGGTTCCGTCAAGTCAACACGAGCAGCGACTGTTTGTCTTTACAGAAAAAAATGTAAGTTTTTTTCTTATCGAAGAGGAATGTTCATATATGTTGGTTTTGTAATATGTTTTGAGCGAAGGGAATATTTGGACTGGATATCGCTTCAGAGATGGACCAGGGGCGGTGGGGTAGCCTAGCTCATTTATATATAGTGGTTAAAGCGTTCGCTTGTCACGCTGAAGCTTCCCCACATGGGTACAATGTGTGAAACCCATTTCTGGTGTCCCCCGCCGTGATATTGCTAGAATATTGCTAAAGGCGGGTAAAACCATACTAACTCACTCAGACATGGACCACTTGACGTTATAAGCGAGCACAATAAGCTTCCACGCATTGTCTTGACATATAGGGACGGTGGGGTAGCCAAGCTAATTTATATATTGTGGTTAAAGCGTTCGCTTGTCACGCCGAAGACCCGGGTTCGATTCCCCACTTGGGTATAATGTGTGAAGCCCATTTCTGGTGTCCCTCGCCGTGATATTGCTAAAATATGGCTAAAAAACAATGCAATACAATTGCGGCGTAAAACAATACTCACGCATTTGTCATACATAGTTTGAGCCACTCGTTTGCCTGGGTTAGCTTGATGTGGGTTCGAATCCTCTAAGTATATAAGTAGATGTAGTATAAATAGATGTACATCAACACATACCTCATGGGTTTCAAAAGGGTAATAGATACAACGGCGCTAACGCCCACTCACCCAATCAATCATCAATGTCATTCCGTGCTTTGTTATAAAACATCTCCGTTTATAAAATCACTTCAAGGAGCGATATGTACTATGGCAATGAGTTCATTAGAGCCAAATAGAGCCGATATAGACCATGGTTGTTTTGTGTTCGTTATTTTAACGCCGCACTTTGCAATATTCTTTAAATAATTGAGTCTGAACCAGACAGTCCGGTCATTGACATCAATAGCATGTACAGACCCCGCTAAAGTTGGAAAATTTCTGGGTGTGGCATTAAACAAGAAACAAACACATCTGTGATGATCGGTTTGTAGGTACCCTTCTTCCAGACAAGTGTCCGCAATGCTGGTGGTGATCATGACGTTGCTGACGGCGGTGCGAACAAGTGTTATCGTTCTCCACGCCGAGCCAATACTCGTAAGGCAAGGTAACGTGATCATATTTATTTTAGCAATATCAAATATATTATTATCCACCAAAGTTTAATGATCTTGTTAGCAAAGGAATGTAATTTGGAGCACCCACACTGAAGTGTTTACAATAAACAAATGAATTAATTTTAGCACTACTTGTCCTTCCAAATGTGCGTGTCATTTAAGAAAAGGTATTACACATGTATTAAACTGTGTTTATGTCATTGAATGTAAAGCGGTGGGGTCGTCTTGTGATAAAGCGTTCGATCAACGCGTCGAAGACCGAATGGATACAATGGGTGAAGCTCATTTATGTTATACTCCGTCGTGATATTGCTGAAAGCGGCATGAACGATATTCACTCACTAGTGAGTGAGTGAGTATGGTTTTACGCCGCTTTTAGCAATATACCAGCAATATCACGGCGGGGGACACCAGAAATGGCCTTCACACATTTTACCCACGTGGGGAATCGAACCCAGGCCTTCGGCGTTACGAGCTAACGCTTTAACCACTTGGCTACTCCACCGCCCCTATTCACTCACTAACTATCACAACTAACTATATTTCGAGTAGCTACTAATCTGAAATAAGGTTTGATGTTTCTCTTCCTTTGTTAAGACGCAGTCCCACATTATTTACCAGAGATGCCTATCCCACCAGATGGCCCGCAGGATCCAGGTATACCGTGGCCTCATAGTAGGGAGCGCACACACATATTCGACCCTTATTGTGACCCAACAGGATGGAACCTCAAACCGTCAGCAAATAGTGGACGTGTTCACACACATGCCTCGGTCCAAGACAGCATTGGCCAAGCTTCACAAAACCCTTCTGGCAAGATTAGTAAAGGCATCGTGATGATACCTGGTGTTACATGGAGTAAAAATGTCGATGGACGTGTTTACAAAGATGCCTTGGTCCAAGTCAGCCCTGAACAAGCTTCAAAAACTCCATCGGGTTACAGGACGAGTAGTAAATCCATTCGAAGGACAGCTGGTGTTACATGGAGTACACAAGTCAGTGATGGTGGACATGCTGACGAAAATGCTTCAGTTCACGTCGGTGCTGGCTCAGCGTCATGGAGACCTGGTGGCAGCTTTAAACAGGGTAGTCATGATGTTAGCAGGATGTCGGGTGTTCCTTGGAGGAGAACAGTTGTGGATGGTGGTCGGTTTCCCGGCTCGACAGGGAATATTGCAATGGGTACAAAACATTTTGATTTTTCCACAAACCCCATGGCGGATTCCATTGGAAACGTGTTCCCTTTCAACAGGCCCATGCTAGAACCGGGGGCTCCGAAACCAGGCTTGGTTCTGTTTCGCCATCATCATTTCCATGGACAATGGCCTGGACACAGCCACGTACATGAACATTCTAGTGGGTTAGGGAGACAGCGCAGCTCCCAAGCAAGTCAACCTTCACCACTCACTCTAAAGCGTTTGTTGGTGACACCTAAACCAACAACTGGTGTGCTATCTCTACTGGTAGGCCAATTTCATCAGACTTCAGCAACCGCTGACAAACCCATAGCTGGAGAAACACGTCCAACTGGTGCATCTACGCTGTCTACGACAACCAACGACTCCATGATAACCAACAAACATTCCTTGACAGAGAAGACAGACATGTCTACTCATCCTCTTATAGCTTCTGGTAAAAGTAACAACGATAGAACACACACGATGTCCAATAAAGGTTACAGAAACGTCCATGACTCAAATGGAGGACAAAGAACAGTTGAAAATGTATCAGTTGTCACTGCTTCGGGCTTCGTACGTACACCACAGCAAAGCATGTCTGATGTAAAAACACAAGGACTTAATCCTGCCTCGCGTGGGAATGGACCATTGAAAAAACACTCTTTGTGGGAATTCGGTTTGCCAAGAAGTACTTTTAGAAAAGACGGCAATTTTGAAAGACAGTCTACAAGCAAAACCATTGACTCCGCATCAAGAAATATTTTCTCTCAAACAACATTAAGAAAGTCGTTACTAGATGCTACTCAAGGTGGGAATATAAACATGGCTTTATCTACAACAGACACTGTCATGCCGCTTAAAATAAGCAGCGCCACACCGTTTGAAGTAAGTAATATTACTCCATTTGACGTAACCACTGCCACAACCTTTGAAGTAAGAACGGCCAAACCGCTTGAAGTGAATAATGCGACACCCTTTAAAGTAAGAACCGCCACATCCCCTGAAGTCAGCACTGCGGCACCCTTTGAAGTAAGAACAGCCACACTCTTTGAAGCAAGCACTGTCCAAAACTCTGCACTGAGCACAGGTCTACCTTCAGCAACGAGAACAGACGGTTCCTCTGTGATGGCTCCGACGGCTGACGTACACGATGTAGAAAGTAGACAGTTTGAGGGTTTTGTCGTTGGTTCATCTGGCACCTTAGCCTCCAATACCTTACTACACGAGAGACTTCACAGTCAGTGGCACTCTCTGGGGCAGCGTATGCATCAGATAGCCAGTCAGATCAACGGTGGTGGAGCGGGCACGCAACAGACTCGGGTAGGTCCTCTCTTTCAAGCATCTTTCATGAATGGGGTAGGGAGATTTTATGCCACATGAAATTGACACACTGTACCCGTGTTGAGAATCGAACCATGGTCTTCGGCGTGTCAAGTAGCGGCATTAACCACTAGGCTATACAATCGAGGTCTGTTTCACGCCATTGGCCGTAGATTCGTGTTAAATTGAACGTGCATTATCATTCATCTAATCTCAATCACTAATTAAACGAAATATTTTTAAATGTGATAATGTCAATACTAGTGAATCAGCCGAAGTACACAGGAACATCGCATCCCAATTGCGTAGTTCAATGATTTCAATGGCTGGATTGTCTGTGAGACTCGATAATTTAGGTCACTCTCATCATATAGCTGGAATATTACTGAGTGTGACGTTAAACAGCAACAAACAAACAAATATTATCGTATTGGACTAGGTTTCCTATAGAAGCTTTTTGAGCATTTAGCACTTTGATTTGTTTGTTTATTAACCAGTTATGTTTAATAATCTAATTAAACTTCACATCAGTTGTATTACATTATTAGTAGCCTCAATCAATAACACGTTGTCAACATGTTCTAGTCAGCTTCTTGTGAGTAAATGTGCGCTGATGTTTTTCTTATTCAGTGAAAGAGCATTTCGGCTCAGCTCGTCTTCATTTTGTGGCTGCCACAACACAACGTAACAAACTGCAGAGTAGGTAGACTACAAGTACATCTGTTCACGGCGGCAACACACAAGCGACGAGGATCTTCTGGGTGTCTAATGGGTACATGCTGTTCCCGTTGAGGGACTCCGAGTGATAAACTGTAAATGAACCAGGAAGACCGCTGGACTATGCCAAAAAGGCCAAGATCATCCTGAGAGTTATATGGTTTACTAAATACCCTCGTGTTGACTGGAACTAGCAAAACATTTCTCAGACTTAGCGACCACCACTACTTGTTGTCATGATATTTATTTATTATGGATTTCTGATGCAAAGTCATTCAAACTGCTCACTTGGTAGCTATCCATTGGTAGCTATTTGTAAGAACATATGGTATACCATCATACTTATGGACTGATCGGTGAATACCAACCAATTCTGTTAAGCAAGCAGTTTAAACCTTGATGAAATAGTTGACGCAAATATTCCGTTACATGTGTACCACGTTCGCCATTATTCCAATGATGTGGCAACGTCCGTTCCCAACAATAGGGAGAATAATACCGTAAGTGGCTGCGGTTCTAAAATTACAGAAATAAAGTTTGCTCTACCCCCATGTGTATTTTTACAAAGTGTATTTTGCCCTGAACTATTATAGTTAAAGCACAAGGACGTTCACTGAGATGCCTCAGAACCTTGTGTTTTGTTGGGTTTTCAAATAAAACATGTTATAAGCGGTGCCGAAAATTGAAAATCCTCGAACAGGGTTTTCTGCCGGGCTGTTCGACCTAATTGCCTGCACCCTTACGTAAAGTCACAAAGTACGATTGAAACATAATATGACAAGACTAAAAAGGTGAGTTTATGGTTAACTGAGTCACTAATTATTATCTGCTCAGTGTTATTATCCATAACCCCATGCAGCAATAAAAAGTACTTAGATTAAAGTTTTTATGTTAATTAGCTTCAGTTGAATCACGTGTCTCGAAACATTCCACAAGTGCATAGTGGGACCGAGCTAATTCATTGTTCGGTGAACATAGCCGAGTGAGTGAGTGAGTTGGGTTTAACGCCGCTTTTAACATTATTCCAGTTATATCACGGCGTGTCAGCTTAATGTGGGAGGAAAGCCCGAAGTGATGCAGGTCTAAGACGTTTACCACTTCGGTGAAACCCACGAGCACGGATATGGTGCTGACAAACCTAGAAACATAATTTGGGCGAACCGGGATTCGAACCCACAATCATAGATTTCTGGCGTGCCCAAGGGACGCAACTCTGCACAGCGAATCGCGGCGCCTTAGACGACTGGGCCACCCGTGCCCCCGAACATAGCCGAAGTTCTGTGTTGCTGGTTTTTGTGAGTTGAGGTGTTTTCCGTCGTAAGAAATGCTATTTTGAATGTTAGCAGACTGCAACAACTGCAAGCGATGAAATAGCCACGGCAAAAAAATGCAGTTTCCGGTATCCGGATACCTTGCGGATACCTCCGGACACTTACCCAAAACGCGTCCGGGTATTCGATGGCAGATACCTTGCCGGATACCAGATCCGTGGTATCCGGCATGGATACCTCACCGGAAAGTATGCCACCTGGAATCCGGGTAGCCGGCACCGGATACCTCAATCTGGGTGTCCAAGGATCCGGCACCGGATACCCCACCGGATACCTCAATTCCCAAAAACATGTCACAATTTGGGGGGTGCATTTTGTTCAATTAAGTGTGAAACACCTAAAAATATTTTGGAAACTAACCATGAAAATTGAACATTGCTGAAGGTATCCGGAAGGTATCCGACAGGTATCCGGATGCAATTTTTCGAGATGTCTTTCTCCTAGTAATTAATGTTAGCCTGGGCATTACAGATAGCTGTAGTAATATTCTGTGTTATTTTAGTTGTAAATATCCCCTTAAAGTTGAGATCTATGGGCATGTACTTTTGGTGAAAAAAAATTTCAAGTTTATATATATTTCATTTTAGATGTTCAGCGTATTAAATGAAAAGCATTCAGTCCTGGTATGATGGTATCCTTACATTTCATCTTCATATTCCCAGTTTGTTCTAGCCTAGTGGCTGAGGCATTCGATTCACCACATCGGTACAATGTGTGAAGCCCATTGCTTGGTGTCACCCATCATGATATTGTTGGAATTTTGCTCATAAGTGGCATAACACCATACTCACTCTGACAAAAAAATGAGAGTCATTGGCTATGTGCTCACTTGGGCCTTTGTTCCTGGTGAGATTAAAAGATTTTTTGGGAACTGTATCAGTACTTGTTACATCTTGACAGACGAGTTTCATTGAAGTTTGAAACAGAATATAATTGACCCAAATAGGTGCATAAGACTGATGGCATCCACAGAAAACACCAAATAAAGTACCGGTACATAAAAATATCAATGTAATTTTTCTACTGACATGCAACTAAAAACTTTGTTCAGTAAGCTGTATTAATTGTAGGAAAACATTCAGGACATTAGTATATTTGATATATGTTAAGCACCTATGTTCTGAATGATCAATATCATATTTCTTAAAGAAGCAAAACAAAGAATTTGTTAAGATAAAAAATCATATTTATTGATTTTATTTACGTTTCATTGGTTCAGTAACCAGAGGTGTTTGCAAGAACTTTCAAAAACAGAAACAGATGCTTCAATGCCATTTTCTAAATAAACAAATTAGTCAAATCTCAGAAGAATTTCAAGGTAGAAGAATATCTAAAGTGATTTATGTGTGTGCAGTTAACCACAAAAGTCATTCAGATTTGCATAATCATCGTCAGTGTACACCACATAAAAATAGTCACACTGCTGTGGTATTAATTCCTTTAGACTTGATTAGTGACGTAATAAAACAACCTACAGAATCACACTGATCCTTATTATTCATTCAGAATCATCACTTTCTGAGGTGAACCTATTAGTTGTTCTGGGGAGGATTATTCATCATCCGGAGAGTCCTTTGTATGACTTGTCTGATCTGGTGTCATTGTGAAATCCAGGTACCTGAAACAATTTATAACATCTTTAAAAGCTTGTTATTAAAAATATAACCAATGTAAAAAAGCCATAGCAAACAGTAAATTTTACAGAAAATACAAAATTGTAACTGATCTGAAAACAATTCCTGTAGTGCCATAAGGCTCACCTGAATTTTTATCAAATATTTGCATTACATCAAAATGTTAGGAAGGGTAAACAAGACAATGCAAAATTGCATAAAATAGGTTCTTATACATAAACACAGAACTATTCATAATTATCAAAACTTTCAATCACACAAGTCATGTAAGCGATCTCAAAATACTATATAATGAGTGAGCAAGTTAGTATAGTTTCACACAGCTTTTAGCAATATTCCAGCAATATATCTGCGGGGACACCAGTACCCAGGTGGGGAATAGAACCTGGGGCTTCGGAGAACGCATTACCCACTAGGCTAAAATAAAAATATCATCCCAAATACAAAAGTAAGTAACATTAGGATTTCATACAACAGATATTTTCGCCAAATATCAAGTCACTATACAACTGACTGAATTACTGATTAGAGGAGCAAATACATTTCTATGTAGCAGCTGAATCAGGCTTAATTTGAATCGTTCCTTGCTTTAGATATCTCACTTATTATTGATATTTAATATCTACCATTAATTGGTAGGCCAAAATAGACACTGATACAAAAAAATCAACTGAAAAGAACCACCTGAACCATCAACTAAAAACGATGTATATCACATTTAAGGGACCTTAATTCGGCTACTGGCAATATTCATGAGTAAAATCATTATCATATTTTTATCATTTATCCTATCTTTAATGAAGATTAACAATAACGGGAAAAACTGCCAAATATATTGGTCAAGTGTAATCATAATTAAAGTAGTTCTATTCGGTTTTGGAACTTTTCAAGGGCAATTGTAAATATATGCAGAATCCAATAAGTACAGTTGAGACATCAGGTTGTATCCAGACAAACTGTCTGATAATCTCAAGGATGGCCTTGGTAGCATCAAGGGATGTAGCTAATCCTAAATAAACATTAAACAAGTGACATCATCTCTTCTGCAGAGGGGGGCACGGGTGGCCCAGTCGTCTAAGGCGCCGCGATTCGCTGTGCAGAGTTGCGTCACTTGGGCACGCCAGAAACCTATGATTGTGGGTTCGAATCCCGGTTTGCCCCAATTATGTTTCTAGGTTTGTCAGCACCATACACGTGTTCGTGGGTTTCACCGAAGTGGTAAACGTCTGAGACCTGCATCACTTCGGGCTTTCCGCCCACATTAAGCTGACACGCCTTGATATAACTGGAATACTGTTAAAAGCGGCGTTAAACCAAACTCACTCACTCACTCTTCTGCAGAACACATGATCAAAGCCTGACCCACCTTTGATGTTTATCATCTCGTTACGCTCACAACAGCAGCTCATTAGCAAGATGAACTCAATGTCCACTCATGGTGGATTAGGGATTAACAGGGCAATTAGTGTCGGGTGGGTATTATCACTTGCAATTGTTTGTTAATTACTTAATTGAGTAGTGTTAGTTTCCAACCACACTGACTGCTATGCTACTCATCAAGTCAGTTTACTAGGTAACATGTTTCTGTGGACCAAGGAAATGTATCTTGCCAGATAATAGTTTTTTATACTTAAAAAGTTCTACTTATCAGTTATGAAATAATGACAGTTTTGATATGCAATTCTCCCTACAAAGACATTTAACATTTGATATACATAAACTGTCTGTTGAAACTATCATGATGCTAATAAACAAGTCGCACAAAACAACACGCATGCATATATTGGTACATAGCCAAACATACATAATTTTTATACGCGTATGTACATGCTTGTACACATATACCTCTACATACTGGCATATCACACATACAAACAATCATTAGATGGATGTAATTGTTAAAAAATATTGTACATACAAAAACAAGGGGACAGATTCTGTAATAGCATGGTTAATATCGGGAGATGTTTTAGCATTTCCATTTTCACAGAAACAAAGTCATATCCTTTCATGACTCAGATCAGCTTGTAGTGATTTAAATTCACATAAAACTGATTCATGTCAAATGACCTATCCCGCACGTGTGGCACCTGTTATAAAAATACCATTTATTACTTATTTCTGTGTCCAAATTATGCTATTATTAGAAATAATAGGTATTATTATACAGCATGGATATGATATAAGAAAGCTTTATACGGTATTGTTGAAAATTATGTAAAACAAACCCATTGAAATAAATCAATCAATACGTGCATTTTTCTCAGAATCTGGTAGATTAAATCAATATGGACTTCTCCTTCATTATCTACTTATAATCAGATGTTTACATTATTGCTCAACTGATAGTTTACAATGGTATAGAATTAGTATTTTATTAATACTTATTTTGTATTTGAGCATCATTTAGATAAGCCATCGTCTTGTTTGCAAATCCAGTTCACTATGAAAAAAATATGTATAAAACACATGTAGTAGAACATATTGCAATAGTTACGACGTGAAAAGAAGTTATGTGTAGGATCCTCAAAATGGTATCCACAAGAGCAGGTCGTAGAATCATGTTGGTGTTTGTTGTTTAACTCTGCACTGAGCCATATTCCAGCTATATGACGGCGGTCTGTAAATAGACAAGTCTGGACCAGACTATCCAGTGATTGACATCATGAGCATCGATCCACACATTTTGGATAGGATGACATGGATCAACCAAGTCAGCGAGCCTGATCACCCGATCCATTAAGTTATATCTTACAACTAGCATAGGTTGATCATGTTGATGGGGACCAACTTCAACCTGGAATCCCCACATGAGTAAGTATGCGGCTTTTAGCTTTGTTTGATGTTTAACGCCGAAAATTGAATTATTGTAACATCGCAATATAGCTGCCATTGGTAAAAATTCAGAATTTCATATATTGTAATGGCACATCATGAGATTTGGGTGTGTTTGTGATATTCATATTATCATGTAATGTTGTAATTTACTTATTATTCTCAAATAGATTTATTACTTTTGCATTCATGATAAATATTAACTTGAAATGTTCACTTTATTCATTTTCAATCTGCATGACCAGTATTCATAATGTCATCAGGCACAGGCAATATACATGAAAATGTGCCTATGTCACTCTAGACAACTGTCTTCAAATTTCGCACTAATTTCTTTAATTAGAGGGCTGCGTATTTTCAGCCAATCAGGTGGCTCGCTCTATTCTGCCCGCGTTTGAAATTTACTTCCGCTCGGGGTTAGTAACATTTTCCCAAGTCGCAAGATAAACTGTCGATATTTCGGTAAGTAAGGGACATTGTTCGAATGTAGATGACTTGTACATGTGTAGAAATGTATTATCGATCAATCTACGGCCAGAAATGTGCTTGTCAACAAGCTTATAATAAAAAAATCGCCGTGGATATCGAATGTAAACAAACCGGCAAGATGGCGAGGGATACACCCAACTCGCCTAAAATCCGACTCGCCTAAAAAGATTTTGACCCGACTCGCCTAAAACGTTTTTGAGCGAACTACGGTCGGTTTTTGTATTTTAGAATAAGTATGTAACGCTGACCCTAATGACCGAAAAGAGGTTTTGGATCGTAAAGACGTGTAAGTTTCCCTAAGACCTAGAACGGGTGTTTGATCGTAAAGATGTGTAAGTTTCCCTGAGACCGAAAACGGGTGTTGGATCGTGAAGCGCGAGTCACCAGAGCGTGAGGCACGGTAACGGCATAACGAGACAGCGGTGGCACTATAGCGCGGTAATTGAACGGATGGTAGAGCTCGGGCTGCGCCCGGTAAACTGCATTGTTGCCTATGTAACTATCAGAAATACATAGTAATGCATTTTATACACATAATGTACCTAAATGTTAGTGTTGTAGTCTCGGTCACAATAGCGTAACCGACTGGGATCTGACTCACTGTGACTGACTCAACATGAAGTGCAGATGTAAATATGACAGAAGACAAATTCTATGGATGATACGTTGTTTTTTTAATATTATTTCTATACTTGTGTATGAATATACTTTGTGATCATTAGGCCTAACCTAAGTTATATTTGCCAAACGCATACCAAAATATTATATATATTTTTTAGGCGAGTCGGGTCAGATTGTTTTAGGCGAGTTGGATTTTAGGCGAGTCGGGTGCAACTCAATGGCGAGTGACGCTCCTTTTCTCTACTTACATATAGGGGGTATATATTTTTATTTACTGACCAATAACGAGTTCCTGTGGAAGTAGCCTGTCTATCATATGTTAGTATTTGCTTATGTATATAATGATTATGTAGAAATATGTTTACTTTAACTGGATACTTTGCATGCTAATGTGACTCACTGTCTTATTTCATATGCTCCCTTTACTCTGTGAGAATGATTAATAGCCTCAACTTATTTTTCCAGATGTGAAGAATCAAGAACAGATTTAATGACAGGGAAGTTTTGCATCAGTGATCATCGTGAAGTGGAAGATAAGACATATTAAGGGTATGAACATTTTCACTTGAACTAGTTGAACAATAACCATGATGACAGCTTTATCATGGGGGGATTTTTGGTGGTGGGGTAGCCTAGTGGTTGAAGCGTTCACTCTTCATGCTGAAGACCCAGGTTTGATTCCTGCCATATAGCTGCGATATTGCAGAGTGCGGTGTTAAACATCAAATAAAGCTAACGGCCGCATACTTACATATAGGGGTATATATTTTTATTTACTGACCAATAACGAGTTCCTGTGGCTACATTTACTTACATGTTGGCTATAAAAGTTAAAGTGTCACATGTGAGTGGCTTACATGTGGTAAGAGACTTTAATACGTTATCATTGTAACATTCACATATTCCTTACCTGAATGTGTCAATTCAGCTGCCAGCATGACCTCAGCTGCAATCTCAATATTTGGCCAATTTTGACGAAATGACCGATTGTGTTCAGTGTATAAGCTGGGCCTCGTCTCTAATATAACTTGACGCAAGTTGACGACGCGCATGGGAAGCCGGGAACCAGCTTATGTCGTGTTAACCAAAGCTGGTTCCCGGCTCCCTATGCACGTCGTCAACTTGCGCCAAACAATATTGTGATATTAGAGACGGGGCCCAGCTTAGTGTTAACCCGGAACCAGCCATTTTACCCATAATTCCCCCATAGGTCCAGGGCGCCATTTTAGAACATGGATGTAAACAAACCTTGTGTATCGATATACACTGTGATGCTTGATTACGATAAGCTTACCTTGTGTATCGATACATTGTTCTCATTCACCTCCACCACGGAAATGCCGGCCGAAATTCCTCTGAGCCATCCACAACGCGGAAGTCAACAGTATTTGGAAAGGCGATTGGCAGCAAATGCGGATGCCAGGTACGTAGCAGGGCTTCGTGACCTTATGTTCCATGATTTCTGTGCAGAGATCTTATGGAACGGATTGATTTAGATATTTTCCTGCTCTACATACTTTACATGGTAACATCAAGGGTCCTTTTTCAGTATTATGGTCGACTGTTTGTTATGACGACAAGGATTTGCATAAGGGGCGTAATGGATTTGTGGTCTAAACAATATGATCCAAATTAGATCCGCTTTTTATAGATAATGAAGAAAATTGAAATTGTTAATAAGTACAGACTATAATTTACAATAATGGCCAACAAAGACTTTATTTTCTTTGACGCTTAAGATATTTTAATAATTACACTGTTATGTCCTTGTTTTGTATAAGCTTCAAAACTTAATAATTCAATATTTCATGGAATGACTGACCTTGGCGAGGATCTTTTTTGCAACAAGTGATTCCCTATGTAAAGTGTATATTGAATGACCCTGGCTTTGTTGTCAAATAATTGTTTGACAGTTGTTTAATATGGGGTTATGTTTTATCTCTGAATGTTTGGGATGAAATATTTTAATAAGGACAGTTCTAAGTTGGAATCTCATCTGGGGTCTTTTCAATTGAATTCAATGTACAGTTTGGACATTTCTGTAATGTGAATGCTACTTATGTTTGCAGAATGCCTGGATGAATAAATGAGTCAGTCATCTGCACAGCATCAATGGAAAAAGAGAAGCAATGAGGAAGAAGAGAAGAGTAACAGTGAGTGGTAAATATTTGAAATTATTCTGTTTGGTTCATCATGTTCATGAAGCTATTCTGCAAATATTTCTTCAGTTGGCTTGTTCTTTATCACCTGTTGGCATGGATAGCCCAATTATCAAAGGCACCACAACTTGCTGTGCATAGTTGCATCTCTTGGGCTTGACAGAAACCGATGGTCACGGGTTTGAATCGAGGGTAGCATCATACACATGCTTGTGGGTTTCATCAAAGTGGTAAACATGTAAGACCTGCATCACTTCGGGCTTTCTTCCCACATCAAGCTTACACATCGTGATATAACTGGAATACTGTTCAAAGAGGCGTTAAACCCAACTCACCCATTTAACACCACATCCAGCAATAGTTCGGCTAAATGACAAGGATTATAAATAATCAAATCTCAAATCTCAACTAGACAAACCAGTGATTAATGTTATGAACTCGATCCAGACGCACCGATGATGACTGTTATGGACAATATCCCACGTTATTGGGGTACGATTATGAGCGATCAATGAGCCCGCTTGCTACCTCATCTATTACTTTAGCTTGTATGGCAAGCATAGGCTGCTAGGAACATTTTTAAGAGATGTCAGTTAATGATTGTTTCAACTCATCAGCATGGAACAATATATATCTCAAATGTTTGGTATATAACACAACTCAAAGATGATAAATTAAGTGAATTTGCTGCCTTTTATCTGTAAGTACATGTTGCAACAATCCTCTTTTATTGCTACAATCTTTACACATAATTCTGCAGAAACTGAAGTCCAGCTTGAGATACCCGGATGAGTACTCCAGGTTGACAGTCTGGAAGGACCCCTCCAGATTTCAGAAGTGATTTTCAGACAGCGATGAGGAGAGTCCTGTTATTTCAATGGGGGCCTACCGAGAAGTTGTATGCCAAGTGACACTGGGACACACTCACAAAGGCTGGTCTGGCTAATGTGAGAAGACCAACCAATGCCAAGTCGGAGTGGGACCCTTCAAGGATGTTGAAGAAATTGTTGTCTTTGGCCATGTGGTAATCACTTGAAAGGAATGATGTTTGGGATTACTTGTCTATAAATGTGGACCCAAACACCAAATAGAATGTTCACAATTCTACTAACACAATGCAACAGGGATAGAGCCCATCTGGCCTCCCCTCATCCTGGTTCCTGTTATTCCATGGCAATATAGAAGGAAAAGGAGGTTTGAGGGCAAGTAACTCTGAACTAGTCAACATGGTCTGCTGATGCTTTCAAGCGAACGGTTTTCCCGCTCTGTTATGTGTATTGAAGAATAGGAGGAAATTGCATACTGCATCAGGAACCATCATGTGAACTCTGTTCAATGTGTGATATAGGCATATAAATAAAAGAAATTGATAATTTTGTTGTTGTTTATGTTACATTAGCCAGCTGTGTAAATGGGGATTTTCCAAGATTTTGCCTCAGTTTGATAGCCACAGTTATCGTATGAAACCATGCATTGCTTGGACATCTTTGGAATAACACATTGATCTGTTATGTCAAAGGTCAATGTCATAGCCTGACAAAAAGTTTGTTAATGGCCAAACTCCTACTTAGGAAAGGGATAGAAGTTGGCAAAAGGTCATACACTTACTTTTTCACTAAAGTGCCTTTTCCTGCAGAAGTCTAAAAAACTCTTATACATATAGTTGTATATCCTTGTCATATGTTTGTCAATATTACATTGAATTCCACCAAAGGACATCATATTGAAGGTCATTCAGAAAGTAATTTTTTTCCATTATCACCAAAATGCCTATTTTTGGAGATATTTGTGAAGTATTATGCATGCAGTATTATATGTTATATTATTTGAATACTCATGTATGAGCAGTGGTAACAAATCACAGTCACCTAATTTCAATGAGTAGTATAAGCCATATTTTCATTGTTGCATATAACTTTGCCTAGGGCCTTCATAAGTGATATAAATGATATGAAGCACTTTACAATTGTTTTTGAAATAGTCAACTGATATTGAAGGTCAAATTAACTTTCAATGTCTTTCAGTAAAAATGTTCACAGTAACTGAGGAAGAGCTCTCTGTAGTGTGATGAAATCTGGTACATGTCACCCTCAGAGTGAGGCATATTGTGTTTCAAACTTAAATGAAGCTGGTATGTCTAGATATAACAAGTACTTTTACGGTTACAAATAATCTTATTATCATCTCACCATGACCAAAGGCCCAAGTGAGCACACAGTCGATGAGTTTATACTTTCACTCAGAACAATCTAGAAGTCTGAATATGAAATTTAAGGATATCACCATACATGTATTAGAACTAATGTTTGTTCGTTAAACAGCTTAACATCTAAAAAGAATTATAGACGAAATTGAAAAAATGTCTTCTCCAAAAGTACATGACCATAGATCTCAACTTTAAGGGGATATTTACAACTAAAATGACACAGAATATTACTACAGCTATCTGATCCAGGCTTACATTATTTACCAGAAATAAGACATCTCGAAAAATTGCATCCGGATACCTTCAGCAATGTTCAATTTTCTTGGTTAGTTTCCAATATATTTTTAGGTGTTTCACATTGAATTGAACAAAATGCACACCCCAAATTGTGACATTTTTTGGAAACTCAGAATGAGGTATCCGGTGCCGGATCCTTGGACACCCAGATTGAGGTATCCGGTGAGGTATCCAGTGCCGGATACCCAGATACCCGGATTCTAGGTGGCATACTTTCCGGTGAGGTGTCCATGCCGGGTACCACGGATCTGGTATCCGTCAAGGTATCTGCCACCGGATACCCGGACGCGTTTTGGGTAAGCGTCCGGAGGTATCCGGATACCGGAAACTGCATTTTTTTGGCTGTGAGCGTGGTTATCGAGTTGGTTGCGGTACATGACACCGATATTGACGTGAATTGACGGCCTGGGGCGTGATATGGCGTCGCCATGGGACGACCATGGCGGAGGAAGAGCAATACACATTCGTCACCACTCGCCTCTTTCCGTAACCCGCAAAGGGCATCGTCCCCCTATCGATTAATGTTATGTGCGCAAATACGACAAACCAATCAGAATGCGCGAATGATTTCAAATTTTTCGTCAAAGAATCCCTCAGACATAATTTTTGATTTTACATATATCTTGCATCTAAAAAGATACCCAAAATTCAGTTAAATGTGCTCAATCATACTGTATAATTCCGCTTGTCCAGATGTGCTTCAAAGTGCACCTAATATATGGGGAAATAAATGTGAACCATTACGCAACGAGTTGACAATTGTTTTAGGTATGCCCTTTTGCGCTAAGACGGAGCCCGGTCGCAAAAATGGCCACGAGAGGGGCACAAGTCGCTATTCGGCTTGTCCCTGAATAACACGAGTTGGTCACGAATGGAGCAATACAGCGGCCGTTTTGTTTGACTGCTGTATGTTGCTAAATGCCTACGCTGAGCAACAGGCGTACATTATGAAACCTTTCACGGATTGCTCATTCCTGTGTTCAAGGACAGGCGGCGTTAAACCCAACTCACTCATTCAAGGACGGGCCTAATTCCAAGGGCAAAGACGTCCGCCTCGGACAAATGTGTGGCTGCTGTAGCACAGAGACAGGGGTTTGAATATGTTTGGGATGAGGGATGGTTGACATCGTCTTTCCATATTTCTTCCCAGAGAATCAGCTTAGTTATTCGACAAGTTAAAAGAAACTATTTCACCAATCGATAATTGATGCGCCATCTTGATTAACGGTGATGACAGAGCAATGTTACCATGGATACATGAGATCCCGGGGGAGGTAAATTAAACAGCGTCATGACGCCAGCCCTTGACTCAAAAAATGTACTTTATCCTTTTTGCAGAAACGAAAGATTGTTAAAGCGATAGGGTTTCCAAAACAAAGTCTCGTAATAAGAAAGTACATACCGTGATGTAGACAATGCACCAATAACATCACTCTCCTACCCAGAGTTCCATGCGGCCGGCAGCCAGCTAGCATAGTACCTCTGCCACAGGCCAGCGCCATGTGACGATTCGTCACATCTTTCACAGTCCATTCAAGATATTGTATATGCTTTTCATCCGTTTCGTGTTTGACTAGTCTACACATTTTCATAAACAAATGTCAAAGAATGGTTAACTTTCATTTAGAAAGTATGCAAATACGTAAAAATCTACTTGTTTTTGCGTAGTTATCCTATGTTTACATTGGTTGTACGGCTCCACGTGCTGTCATCGAAGCCCAACGGAGAGCTAGCGACACGGTCACTTTGATGCATAAATATATATTGTCATGCAACTCACTGTCGCAGTTGTAGTAGCATATATATATATAGTTATGCAAAACAATATGTAAAGCGCCCCCAAATACTTGCATTAGTCCGTTCTATACTGATTTCTGAAAAAGCGCGTTTGTTTACAAACAAGAGAAAAGTCTGGTCACATGATATGCAAATTAGCCTGTGGCAGTGGTGTTATGCTGAGTCACCACTGCGACGGAGTGTGCAATAACATGTACAACAACTAAACACCGATCGACGCTCGGTCTTTGCTGACAACGGGACGTAGCCGTGAACGTAAAAGTAAAATTTAAAATTACTAGACAATCGACTGTCTGCAATCCCATTGTTCATATCGGTCAGGACATGGGTTCACAAGTTTCACTATTTCACGTGACTGTCACATTACGCAAACGCGTTGTGGTGGTAGTCGTGATCATTATATAAATGTCACTCGATATTTGTATTATTTATGGGACGTGGTCTAGTGGTAGAGCGTCCGCCCGGAGAGCAGAAGGTCCGGGGTTCGATCCCCGACCGCGTCATACCAAAAGACGTTAAAAGATGGTACTTGTTGTTACCCTGTCTGCTCCGCGTAAAGGGGCTCAAATAAGGACTGGTCGGCTCGGAGTCAGTATACTGTGTCTGAGTGGGGTATTCATGTTAGACTGCGGCATGGTATCTCAGTGAACTAGCACTATAAATTGGCATCAGTCCGGACTAGTACAAGCAGCCACACAAACACACACACGTACATGCACGTCGCTATATAAGTGCAATAATCTTGGACGCGACGTTACAACCTATTTCACCTCACCTCACCCATTATTTATGGTTTGTAATTTGTAAATTGTTATGATTAATGTAACCGAAAGCGTTTTTAGGGGTTTTGTATCATTTCTAGATGTCAGAATTCAATTTTGAAAACCAAAAACTCTTTTTAACCTTCTTGTTGTATCGTTTGCCTCCAAAACGCTTTTTAACAAATACATATAGTTTTCAAAAAGTAGGATAGAGGTTTGTCACGAAAACAGGAAAAAACCGGTCTGCGGGTACCAGTTTTACAAGGCGATATCAGCGCTCGTAAACTACATTTATAACGAAGACGCTTATAACAAACAGACGGATATAACGAACTTTTTTGTCCCTGCCACATGCTGTATATATGCTTATGGCGAACTACGGTTATAACGAACTAAAATTAGTGGTCGCTTTTAGTTCGTTATAACAGTATCTTACTGTACTTCTACATAGGTTTACGATAGTCGCGCCAAGATCGCTTTGTGGAACGGAGCCGTGGTGGCTGCATTTCGTCAAGCCGAAGACCCCATCCGAGTACATGTATTTGCCATCACATTTGACAGGGAAATGCATTGTTAAAATTATCGTCAGATTTCACCAGGGTCTGGCAAAGTTCTGTTCACCTCAGTGGCCTGAACGAAATACTCAATCACTGAATGTGTTCTGGAGAGATCAGCCAGGTGTTATAGGTGTTACAACAAGGTGTTACAACACGGTGTTACAACACGGTGTTACAACAAGGTGTTACAACAAGGTTTGTTTTTTGTTTAACGCCGCACGCGGTCTGTAAGATAATTTGAATCTGGACCAGCAATCCAGTCATTGACATCATGAGCATCGAACTACGCAATTGGGATACGATGACATGCATCAACCAAGTCAGCGAGCCTCACCACCCGATCCCGTTAGTCGCCTCTTACGGCAAGCATGGGTTGCTGAAGACCAATTTTAACCCGGATCTTCACGGGTCTGTTACAACAATTGTTACAACAAGGTGTTATGATGTATTATGGAAGGCTGCAAATAAATTAATAAATCCTGGGGAGCATACCTCAACGACTTCTGTATATACCTGACCGCCTCCGTGGTCTAGTGGTAGAGCGTCCGCCCGGAGAGCGGAAGTTCCGGGGTTCGATCCCCGGCCGCGTCATACCAAAAGACGTTTAAAGATGGTACTTGTTGTTACCCTGTCTGGCGCTCGGCATTAAGGGGTTAAAGCAAGGACTGGTCGGCTCGGAGTCAGAGTACTGTGTCTGAGTGGGGTATTCATGTTAAACTGCGGCATGGTATCTCAGTGGGCTAGCACTATAAATCGACATTAGTCCGGTCTGGTACAAGCAGCCACACACACACATACACGTGCATGCACGTCGCTATATAAGTGCAATAATCTTCGACGCGACGTTAAACCCAATTTCACCTCACCTCACCTGTATATATCTATCATCACTGACTGTATCATCAGAAACAAAACAAAATATTAATATAACCTAGATGCATTGTTTCACATAATATTAATATAACATAGATGCATTGTTTCACATAATATTAATATAACCTTGTTGCATTGTTTCACATCCTAATCATTATACCACAAACAGGCAGTAGGATCAGACCAGCTTGACATATTACCTCTGATCATATTCCATAACTGTGCTGATAAAAACACTTTCATTAACTGTATATTGTTAACTGAATAGGGGCGTGTGCTATCGGTTCCTAATGAAATTTCCAGTTATCGAATTCTCAATCAAACACTCAAACCAGAAAACAAATTCCGTGTTTTTTCATCTTGTCAATTTCACCTGAATACCAGTTTAATTAATACAACACTACAAGACTACAGCAATATATTCGCCATCCAAGCGTAGACTGAATGTATTTACAAAGGGAATGTATCGACAACTAACGAAATCTGAATTGATAGGTTAATCAGAATGCGAGAAAATGAAGAATAGTCAGAATAGGTCCCCAGTACCTAACACTCTCCATGCAAGCACGGGTCGCCGGAGGCGCCGCAATTCGCCGTACAGAGTTGCGTCCCTTGGGTAGCCAGAAATAATGATCGTGGGTTCGAATCCCGGTTCGCCCCAATTATGTTTCTAGGTTTGTCAGCACTGGGTTTTACAGGTGTGGTAAGTGTCTAAGACCTACATCACTTCCTTATTAAGCTGACATTAAGTGATGTAAATGGAATACTGTTCAAAGCGGCGTGAAACCCAAACTACTCACTCACTCACTTATACTTTCGTAATCACAGACTAAAATGCGGATCTAATAGTCAGGCTCTGTGGATTACGTGTCACGGCCTCGACGGCGTTGCTCCTGCTATCGGCCACTGTTTTGTCTGGTTTAGATTCTAGTACGCATCGTCCGTCGTGAATGCGACGTGAAGCAAAATACATTAAATTAAATCACGGTTCAGTTACTCGTTTAGAAGACACGTGATAACACGTGATCATTGAGAACTGTAATTTTTAATATGTGAACTATAATATGTATATAGCCTTATCAAAATGAATAGTATATTTCATTGATAATCATCATTTTTTTTAAACAAATGTACTTTTTCTTATGATTGTCTCCGATACAAGTAGCATTAAGCAAATCGGATGGTTTACGGTACGACTGAATTGACGTAGATATTGTTACCAAATGGTTTCGTTTTTGTAAATAGTGAACTAGTGAGTGAGTCAGTCTGGTTTTACGCCGCTTTTCGCAATATTCTAGCAATATAACGGCGGGGGACACCAGAAAATGGCTTCACACAAATTAGCCAGTGGGGAATCGATCCCCTTTCTTCGGCGTGACGAGCGAACGCTTCAACCACTAGGCTACCCCACCGCCACTAGTAACCTAAGAATCCACTGAGCTAACAGCATAAAAATCTCAGATATAAACAAGTAAATAATTCAAAATGGCCTATTCTGTATTTTACATGAGATTTTTTTGTCCAGTAATCCATGCTTGTCTAAAACGTGTGTCGGGTGCAATGTGTTATCACTGGCTTAATGAGTGTTTTCGTACTCCGACGTTCATTGATATCTCTATTCACTGACACCTGTTCAGCTGATTTAATAGATGCAATATTGGTGAACTGTTATCAATATCTTTTGAAAACAAAAGCAGTATATATATATATATATATATATATATATATATATATATATATATATATATATACACATATGACCTCGTGTCCGTTATTAAAACTGTGCCAATTAAAACTGTTCATTCTTACTCCACTTATTTAATTATTACTTATATATATATTATTTTATATATATATATATATGTGTGTGTGTGTGTGTGCAGAAATGGCTATTTCTACTTACAAATGGCCATACATCTAGATTTAGAAAATTAAGTGTGGTGTATTTAGTGATTGTATATATGTGTCTCATAGGTGTCTCTGTGTGCTCCGTGGGTATCTCTCTTGATCAATACAGGGCAAAAATAGGATCCTTCTCCCAACCAAGTAAGTCAAGGCACAGTCAAATCCATGGTGTACAAATAGCAAAGTACTCCTTTTCTCTATGTTTGAGATTGATGATTGTGATAAGTGCACTACTCGTCACCTGGGGCAATGTCGAGTCGAATACCGGCCCCACCACTAGACAACAAACTCTAGCTGTTGATGAGAGTGGATCGCTAGAAATAAATCCGAGTGAAAAGGAAAATGAGAACATGCTTAATCTTTTACACGACATTAAAGGTGACATAAAGGCAATGAACCAGAACTTCGAATCCCTCAACAATAAAGTGGACAACATGGCGTGGGAGTTCCACATAAACAACTCAAACTGAAACTGACAAATATAGAAAATAAACTTGAAGATCTGGAGTGTCGAATTAAAAAGTGGTGAAACTTGGGAGCGATCGGAAGAAAAGGTGCGTGAGTTTTTATCGGAGTCCTTAGAAATGAGCAACGCCGCTGATATTGTCATTGTCCGGGCACATCGATTGAATCCAAGAAAGAAGGATTCGCCTATAATAGCAAAACTCCTAAATTCCAAGGACAAGAGTGTGATCAAGATGATATTATTCATGAGACACAAGCAGGATTGAGATCAAATTATTCCACTGCTGATCATATATTTTCACTCCATGCAATGATCCAGAAATATGCCTGCAAAAAGAAAGGTAGATTGTTTATCAATTTTTCAAAAGCTTTTGATACTGTTAAAAATGATGTATTACTGTCAAGCCTTAAAATGTGGGTATAAATGGGAAAACCTTCAATATTCTTTCATCAAGGTATTCACAGCTATCAGCCTGTGTTAGAAGTTCAAATGGATTGTCTAGTTACTTCCATTGTAATGTTGGCACTCGCAAAGGGTGCATCTTGAGTCCCCAGATGTTTATTATTTTCATCAATCAACTTATTAGTATGATGGAAGAATATGGTGGACAAGGTATATCTATATCTCCTGATGGAAATAATCTTTTTGCTCTCATGTTTGCTGATGATGTTTCTGCAGTCGCTGATACTGCATTACAGTTACAAAAAAAGATAAATGGTTTGGAATTTATTTTATGAATTAACTGGTATGAAAGTAAATTTGAAAAAGGCTAAGGTTTTGGTGTTTCGTAACAGCGACCCACTGCGACACTAGGAAAATTGGCCAGAAGCTTGAGGTTGTGTCATTTTATAGATATTTAGGTATAGTATTTACACCCAGACTAGTTTGGACTAAAGCACGGCCCTGCCTTGTATCACAAGCAAATAAAGCCTTAATGGCAATATACAGGTATAAAAAAGAGTATATTAATATTAATTGTACTGATCTTTTCAGGATTTTTGATGCAATGGTTACACCAATATTGTGCTATGGGTCAGAAATCTGGGGAACAACATTGTAAAACTACTGAAAATGTTCAGATAAGAATATGCAAATATTTCCTGAAAGTTGGTAAAAGGACATGCAACAGTATGGCACTGGGTGAATGTGGTAGAGCTCTACTTCAGCTTACACACATGTCACAGGCAGTTAAGTACTGATGTAGACTAATCACTATAGATAGAAATAGGTTACCTCATCAATGTTATTTAATGTTAAAGTCTCTTGATGATGCTGGCAGAGTCACAATGGATACACATATCGAATAATGAGAATGCTACATACGATATGTGTGTATGTGTATGAAAATATGTGTGTGTGTGTGCGTGCGTGAGTGCGTGCGTGCGTGCGTGCCTGTGTGTGTGTGTATGTAAAATAGCGCTAAGAAATGAAATGTCTGTATTTTGGGCCACTGAGCTCTATACTGAATAAAATTGTCTTGTCTTGTCATGTCTTTCTCATAGTCAAACGCATATATATCTATGTATTTGCGTGCATGACTGTGATATAATAATATAATAAAAATCAGAAATGCCACAATTTTGTGTTAAGTGATGTGTGTAATCCGGACCAACGGCTTATAACAACATGCGACATTGTACCGCCGAGCCTTTATTTGCCAAAATCTCAAGAAGTCGACCAGGGGGATTAACTTACCCGTGTACAATCATTGGAGACTCGATAATCCATTGTTAGAGCAAGTTTCAGAGATACACTACAATGCTAATTTTGAGTAAAATTAGCCATGTGATTTCAGAGGTCCACACGCAAAATATAAACTGTAACGTCGTACGGATATTTGATTGACCATACTTTCAATCAGGGGAGGTAAGCATTCGTCACTTACTTATCTCTATACACAAAAGGCTTAACAGCTTGACGTGTACGATTGTTGTAGCTAGATAAAACAAAAACCACACGTTATTAAAATGTTCGCAGATTTAATATGAGCACTATCATTTATGAATCCTTCGTTTTCCAACAGCGGACGCCCATTCTCCACTCTCTTTGTTCAGGTTTGTGGATGTTTTTTTATAATTTGTTTATTTTTTTCTGGAGCATTTACATGGTTTTGCATGAAAATATATTCACATATTTAAAGCGTGACCAAAGCTTATTAACGTAAACTCTATTACTATTAATAACGGCAGTATACTTTTTCAACTTATGAATTTCAGTGAGCTCCTTATCGCCAGTTCAAGTCATTGCTTGAACCAGAATCTTATTTATCAAACTTACGGTACAGGTATTTTCGTTACATCATTATTCAAGATAGACACAATTTTATGGAGGGGACTTCGTCAACTTCTAAGTAATGCCTATCAAACAATACATCATTATTCGTTTTTAAACTTGACCTGAATGATCTAAAAATTAACACAGGGAGATTTTCATCTATTGAGAAATCCCTAAGGTTATGCCCATTCTGTGACAGTGTTGTCGAAGATGAATACCATTTTATGTTTATTTGCCCTATATACGAAAATCTAAGAAACAAGTGCTTACCGCAGTGGTCTTTATCTCATTTTAATGCTGTAACATTCTCTTCATTACTGTCCTGCAAGGATCTTCTAACACAAATTAAACTGGCTTTGTACATACATTATGCGTTTTTGTTACGAAGTGAATTGTTGCCTTGACTTTGTATATGTTATGTTGTATATGAGCCTGTGGCCTTTCATACAATACAGAATTAAATTGAAATGAATTGTATAAATTGGAATGTTGGTGGAGAGTAATTATTTCTAAAGTTGAAAATGATTAAATAATGACAAGGTTTAATGGATTTTTATTTTTTCCGATAAATAACCAAAAAGAACATTTGTGTGACACAAGCCTTGTGGACATTGGGTTCATTAAATCATCACAATATCATTACGATATTTGAATCATTGTAGCAATAGTTTTGGTAGAGCTGCAATATTACTTATTATTTGACATTCAATTACAACTTCGGGCGGATAAGCTGAAGGTTCGCAAAATCCGATTTTTCGGAATATTTAACACAATTTTATTTGAGGAGTACTTAAAATATGTGAGCAAATATTTTATAAATGTACCATGTACTTTCTTTAACCATTGACCCATTCTGGGACATATCTTTGATCCGGTGTCATTTATAATTTATTTGTGTTATCTTAAGAAACCTGCTGTACCTGAACTACGCGGAACTCTGTAACGTCCTTATAACCATGACTACACGGGTTTGCGATGACGGCGGTGACGAGATGACACTGTTTGACTTTAACGGCTTCAAATACCCTGATTTTCCAAGCAAAGTGCCACTCAGGAACCTATCCAATGTCAAGATCAGATCTGATGACGTCCTTGTCTGTGCCTACCCGAAATCAGGTAAATCTTTCTTCAGTAATGAGTACATGTTGTAGCATCATAATTTAAACGCCAGATTTTGAGGTAATCATTCTCGTAGCACACTCACGTGTCAAATAGAGGCAAACCAAAATGGGATGGTCAAATCAAAGGAATTTCTATTTAAAAGTCAACGTACGAGAATAATCAGTCGTTATTATCCACCGAAACAGATTCCTTTGCACATAAAAGGCGAATAGTGGTGAAAACTATTTGAATGGATCACTGAAATAAGTGATGACACCAGGTGTTCGCGAAAAGGGTAAGCTTGCAGACACCCAGTGACACGTTAGCATGTTGGAAGAAAAGGCAACCATTCCTGCTTGGAGTGAGTGAGTGAGTTAAATTTTACATCGCATCGGCAATATTTCAGCCATATAGCGATGTGAACTAGGTTGAACAAGTTAGGCATTTAGATTATATAATAAAAGCTGTCATCGAAGGACAGTACAACAACCAGCAATATATCACAGATTATAAATTTAAAACTAGTTTTAGAGCAATAAAATAATCAGATACAATACAAACGATACAATATAAAAACGGGCTGTAGGTCGCCAGCAACCAAAGTTAGGCCACCATACTAGGGACCATGGGGACTTACGGTACTTCTGCTACCTACATGGTACCGGCCACTGGCGATTATCAAACAGATTAGCCAAAGATTTAAAATCAACAAAAATACTACGATTAAAAGCACAGAGAAAGGAAATGATACGTTGAATGATACTGGACTTACGTACCTTCCCAGGGGGACAATTCCTGCTTGGAAAGAACATGAAGTTCACACCCATTCCTAATGCTAAATGCGTGTGGTAATGTCAATAGAGTGTATTATGTTGATGGAGTGGTATGCACATCTGAATGGTGTGCGTTTTCTTCTTCATCTTCTTCTTTTCTTTTTTCTTCTTCTCTTTCTTCTTCGTCTTCTTCATCCTTTCTTCTCCTGTTTCTTCTTCTTTTTCTTATCTTTCTACCTTTTCTTCTTCTCTTTCTTCTTTTTCTTCTTCGCCTCCTCTTTTTTTCCTTCCTTTTCTTCTTTTTCTCCTTTTTCTTTTATTCTTCTTTTTTTTCTTCTTTTTCTTATTCAGAAATCTTTTTTATTTTGCTTCTTCTTAATGTAAAGTGTTTTGGAATGAAACCTGTCATGTGTAAATATGGAAATGTGATCACCATTCTTCTTCTTCTTCTTCTTCTTCTTCTTCTTCTTCTAATGTAATGTGGTTTGAAGTGAAACCTGTCATGTGTAAATATGGAAATCTGTTCCCCAGGCACTCACTGGCTGTGGGAAATTGTACGACTACTTCTGGCGGGACGACTGGACACTGATAACATCAGCAAAATGGCCTATATGTTAGAATTCACAAATGAGGATGACTACAGAGATCTTCCATCTCCCAGACTTCTCAACACGCACGTCCTCGTCAAGCATCTTCCTAGGGAGGTGAAAGTCAACAAGCCAAAGATTCTGTATCTGACCCGGAATCCAAAAGACATAGCAGTGTCCTACTACTCCTTCATCAAGAAACTACCATTCCAGAAATACTCTGGAGAATGGAAAAACTATGTTGAGCCTTTTTGTGAAGGCAGGTGTAAGTATAGGCCCTTGGAAATCTTCTCAACATTGTAACATAGATTTCAGATTGATTGACCATGATAACTATATCTGTGATCTATTTTGTTCTGTGGGCTTAACCTGTGTTTCGCAAACACATGGTGTCATCACTGATTTTCAGTGATCCGTTCATATAATGTTCACCGATATTTTTCCTTTTACGCCGAGTTGAATCTGTTTCGTCGCATAATCGAAAATTGTTATTCTTTGGCGTTTCAGACTGGACATAAGCAAAATCCACCTTTTACATTTACATTTTACAAATTTACGTTTTCTACATATACAAATTAAGAATAATATACACCCGTGAAGATCCGGGGTAGAATAGGCCTTCCAACAACCCATGCTTGCCGTTAGAGGCGACTATACTTGTCGCAAGAGTCGACTGACGGGATCGGGTGGTCAGGCTCGTTGACATGGTTGATGCATATCATCTATCACAATTGCGTGGATCGATGCTCATGATATCAATCATTGGATTGTCTGGTCCAGACTATTTACAGACCGCCGTCATATAGCTGGAATACACAATGTGTGGCGTTAAACACCAACCAACCATCAAAGAATAATATAAATCTTAATTACATATTGATATAGACATCATAAAACTTTCCCACGTCAAATATATTATATTATATTTATATAGCAGTCATTCCACTTTTTGAAATTCGGTGTTCACATTTACTAAGCTAATAAACATTCAGAAACGGATCTATCAAAAAGGGTTGTTCTAGTTGACTACGGTTCCTGGTTCGAGTACGTCAAGGACTGGGAGGAGGTGAAGAAAACTGCTGGCATGCCCATTCTTACCATGAACTTTGAAGACCTGAAACAGGTTTGGTTATTTAGTTTAGTTGGCAAATAGAATGACAAATATACTCTGCGGCATAAACGGTAGGTTCTCCGTTCCACTTTGGTATGTCTTTATTAAAGTATTGGAGTTACGATCGTCTGAGCACTACAATCGCATTTCAGAAGACGCACATTGTGGATTGAATAGACATTAGAAAGTTCATAGGATGTGTGTCATGTCACATGTGGGTGCAGATTCGCGTATTACAGTCAACGAGGGTCGGGTGCCCTAATTTTCTATCGCATCAGGATTCACAGTGCCAGGAACATTGTGGACGGAGGTTCGAATCCCAGATTCTTCCTGATTATGATCCATCGTTGATAAGCACCGTAACCCTCCTTGTGGGTTTCATGATGAAGGGATAGTTTACGTTATAAGCATATAAGCATTGAGAATGTCCTCAACAACATGTTTTCTTCTTCAAATTCTCTTCGAACACCTTTACCATTGTTGTTGTCTTAGCCAGGCAATAAAGTGGTTTACATTATGAGAAACGTTATACGCATTGAGAATATCCTCATCAACATGTTTTTGTTCAAATTCTCTTCGAACACTTTTTACCATTGTCGTCTATCGATGGATGTACATGTATTTGTGTGTTTGTTTGTTGTCTAAGGCTGTTGTCGGCAGTATTAGTATTATATGACGGCGACCTATAAATAATGTCTTAGCCAGGCAATAAAGTGGTTCATATTATGAGAAACGATCAACGCCGTTGGAGTACCATGACACGCAATCAACTATGTCTCCGATCTTGACCACCTAATCCATTAAGACACCTCTTACGATCAGCATAATTTGCTGGGTCCCATTTTTAAGCCTGATTCCCCACAGGATCAATAGTTGATGCCATCGGTAATGCAGGTAGGTGCGGCGAAGTAGTCTGGTGGTAAAGCGTTCTCAAGGCCCGAATTCGTTACCTCAAATGTACAATGTGTAAAGTCCATAATTAGTTTGCACGAATTGATATTTAAAGCTATAAATCATAGGTACTTATTCATGTTTAGGTTTGTTTAATTTTAATTTTTAAAAGTGAAATTATCAAGTATGTATACAGTGTATGTGGATTGTAAATGTACTTTAATTTGTTTCACCATTACAGGACACAGTCGGTGAGGCCAAGAGGTTGTGTGAATTTCTTGGTGTTGACAGAAGCGATGAGTTCATCACACAGGTGTGTGAGCAGTGTCAGTTTGAATCACTGAAGAAGCTAAAGGCAACGGCAACTGTAACTGGACAAATTGCATATAGAAAAGGTGAGCAATGCAGAAATCAGAAATCACTGATCGTGGGCTCGAATGCAAGAGTCGGGCTGGTTAATGTTCCTGGTTCTGGGTCTAAGACCTGAGGGGCAGTCGGGTAGCCTAGTGGTTAAAGCGTTCGCTCGTCACGCCGAAGACCCGGGTTCGAATCCCGACATTGGTACAATGTGTGAAGTCCATTTCTGGTGTCCCCCGCCGTGATATTGCTGAAATATTGCTAAAAGCAGCGTAAAACCAAACTCACTCACTCACTCTAAGACCTGAATCAGTTGGGACTTTCGTTCATTTCGGGCTGAACTACAGTTTAAAGGGATCTTAAACCAAATTGTCTCACTCTGTCACACAATCCGTATACTTTTTCTGTTCTGGAGGGAGTTTATCCATCTATCCATGACTCGTTGTTCGAGATAATTTCATTGCATTTGGAACGATACCATCCAGTTTTAGTTTCCAGAAATGCTGTAATATTAATATATTATTAATTGTGACATAAGTTTCTATATTGATATATTTATTAGTGAGTGAGTTGGGTTTAACGCCGCTTTTAACAGTATTCCAGTTATATCGCGGTGTGTCAGCTTAATGTGGCAGGAAAGCCCGAAGTGATGCAGGTCTCAGACGTTTACCACTTCATTGAAACCCACGAGCATGGGTATGGTGCTGACAAACCTTGTAACATAATCAGGGTGAAGCAGGATTCGAACCCACAATCATAGCTTTCTGGCGTGCCCAAGGGACGCAACTCTGCACAGCAAATTGCGGCGCCTTAGATGACTGGGCCAAAATGATGACCACTTAAGTGAACATCTCGCTGCCGCTAAACAAAGATCTGAGGACATCCCAATACGGGTCACGTCAGAACGACCTTTCGCGAACTTTGACCGACCACTGAAATGACCAACGAGAAGTCAACATCAGCCAATTAGATAGCGAGAACTAACTCTCCCCTTAACCCTGGACGGCACCACTCATTTACATTCATTGAGGTCAGAACGAGCTCTCGGCATCCCGTCTGTCTTCACCTCCAACTGATTGTACACACACTTTTATTCCAGGTCAGGTTGGTGATTGGAAGAACTGGTTCACTGTGGCCCAGAACGAGCGGTTTGACAGGTTTTATCAAGAGAAGATGGCTGATTGTCCATTGTCCTTCAAGTACACCACGCAGTAGAAAAGGAAGAGGCCACTCGTCTGTGGTGGCATGATACAATGTTTGGTGGAACCATTTTTCTGCTCATTTCAGCCAATATTAAACATGTTATAGAACACATCACGATATACAAGGAGAATAAAGATTAGTTTTATTAACTAAGATTTTGGTTTTTGCGGTTTCCGGCTGTTTCCGGTACTTGATTAATGCGAACAAGGGACACTCGCATAGGTCGCATTGATTTCATGTTTCATTTGTTCATTCACATGGGTACGATGTGTGAAGCCCATTTCTGGTGTCCCCACCGTGATATTGCTCCCGCTGGAATATTGCTAAAAGCGGCGTAAAACCAAACTCACTCACTCACTTACTTGTTCGACACTCCCTACTTAATTCAGATTCAAGGTTTCAAGGATATTATAAGGGTAACGCTTTCACATATTAGCGGACTCGTGAAGATTCGGGTAGCAGCGTAATTATATTTATTTAAAAAGCCGGACTGCTGCCGTCTTTGAACTTCACCCCAGAGCTCTCTCCTCCACCTTCTGCCTTAGCGGGGGCACGGGTGGCCCAGTCGTCTAAGGCGCCGCGATTCGCTGTGCAGAGTTGCGTCCCTTGGGCACACCAGAAACCTGTGATTGTGGGATTGAATCCCGGTTCGCCCCGATTATGTTTCTAGGTTTGTCAGCACCATACCCGTGCTCGTGGGTTTCACCGAAGCGGTAAACGTCTGAGACCTGCATCACTTCGGGCTTTCCTCCCACATTAAGCTGACACGCCGCGATATAACTGGAATACTGTTAAAAGCGACGTTAAACCAAACTCACTCACTCACTCTGCCCGAACTGTCGGTATCGGCCACTGGACACTGTTTATATACAGCTTCTATAGATGAGCATGTAAAATATATTTACCTTATCCAGGCAGACGAGTGTAACAGAAACGAACATAAAATAATCACAAAATACGCTTCTCCGCTCTACCCTGCATACTTGCACAGACCAGTGTACACACATGTTAAACAGCGAAATTCATGACAAACATATTTTGAATCAAATGAGGTTAGAAATTAGTCCGCAGCTTAACAAGATCAGAATCCGTCTCCAAGAAACATTTGATGCAAAGATACATGAATCACCAAAACTGACGGGTGTAATGTAGTGCTGCTTCATCACGTCCTTGGTTATCAGGAATAAATTCTGAATTTTACCAACAAGGACGTCTCTGTCTCAAATGTGACAAACAAACAGCTGTACGACCCCGACACCTGTAGCAGTTTGTATACTTGGAATTTGATGATCCTGCTTTGTTTGTTTGTTGTTTAACGCCACACTCAGCAATATTCCAGCTGCATGACGGCGGTCTGTTAATAGTGGAATCTGGATCCGTTAATCCAGTGATTGCCATCATGACCAATCGATCTGCGCAATTGGGATACAATGACATGCGAGCTTGACCAACCGATCCCGTTAATCACCTCTTACGACAAGCATAGTCGACTCCTAAGACAAGAATGGGTTGTTGAAGACTAGTTCTGATGAGCTTGTTGATTTGAAGTGACCATAGATATCTGTATAATTCATCAATTCGTAAGCAGTTTGTATACCTGATCATATTCTTTTTTATTAAAAAAAGAAGACTACATTTTATTCATGATATGCGTTTCTATCACTGGTGTCTACAAACTACAAGGATTCCTGATCATAACGGATCCTCACTACTTCATGCTTGTAACCATCTTCCCGAGGCAAGAGAGTTACCTTACTTTAAAGTCTAGTTTCCACCCTTGCCGAACTAGGCTGGAATTCCTGGGCTCGATTGTAGCGCCACCAGTGGCTATTACGAGTAATGTCCTTGCTATGCCTCTCCTATTGACCAATCAGATTCAACCTCTCGTATCACCTGCATTTGCTTCAAACAAAACGGTGGCGCCCAGCCAAGACGATCTGATCGATAATCAAGATCTATATTGTGATCAAACGAGTCTTACATCGCGAAGTGCATCAAATCACGTGAGCACCTTGATTAAAAACATGAAAAAGATATAGAAAATATCTGTTGACAACGAGTTAGCGGTGCACATGCTTTGCAAATCCTGCAGTCGACCGAAATCTGCATGACACTACGAACCGGATTTCGATTTCGGTGCGCGATTTTGATTGGACTATGCATAGACTCGTTATGTCCAGCCAAAATGTAACTCCATAATACCAGCCTAGTTCGGCAAGGGTGGAAACTGGACTTTTATAGTCAGTTAACTCACTTGCCTCGGGAATATGGCTTGTAACATGCAATGCGGTTTAAGATTATTACATACATATATAACGACGTGCATGCACCTCTCACGCTCTATATTTCTCTCTCACTCGCTCTGTGCGTGTGTGTGCGTGCGTGTGTGTGTGAGTGTATATGCGTGTATGCGTTCGTGCGTGTCTTACTGATTTACAAATGCCGGTTTATACTGCTGGTCCACTGCGATACACCAAAGACATAGTGTACTGACTCCGAACCGACCAGTCCCGTGAAGATCCGGGGTGGAATAGGTCTTCAGCAACCCATGCTTGCCGTAAAAGGCGACTATGCTTGTCGTAAGACGCGGCTTACGGGATCTGGTAGTCAGGCTCGCTGAACTGGTTGACGCATGTCATCGTTGATCGATGCTCATGATGTCAATCACTGGATTGTCTGGTTCAGACTCGATTATTTCCAGACCGCCGTCATATAGGTGGAATATTGTTGAGTGCAGCGTCAAACAACAAACAAACCAAACCAAAACCGAACCGACCAGTCCTTGTTTTCCCCCTTGGCCCGGTCGTCTGAGGCACCGCGATTCGCTGTGCAGAGTTGCGTCCCTTTGACCACATTAAGCTGACACGCCGAGATATAACTGAATTACTTTTAAAAGCGGCGCTAAACCCAACTCACTCACTCACTGACTGATACGCCTGTGATGTAACTGGACTACTGTTCAAAGCGGCGTTATTCGAAAGTTGGTATGAAGCGGCATGGGATCGAACCACCGACCACAGAGGCGGTCGCTGCTTTATACAGAGTGATTGTTGATTGATGCACCGTAGTAAGAACTGATGTCCCGACATTCTGTCTCGGTCGACTGCCATCGTACCCCAGTCACACCCGTCCTTGTTCATGCTTTGAGTCACCGTTTTGCCTGGTTCAAACGCTTTGGTTGACGTTTACAGCATTTACTCATTACTCCCTCAATAACTATATACTCAAGGAACGCTTACAACAACGTACTGATTATTGAGCCCTTCTGAACTTCAGATATGTACATTCTCTGTATTGATGTGTTAACGATTCAGTTGTCTGTTATACAGACCCTCAAACAAATATATCAAAAACAGCCAATGCAAGTCTATTATAGTGGGCAAGTCTAGATTACTAGAGGATCTGAAAATGAAGAGTCTCTGGGCTCCTTTTGATCATATTTTATTAAGATAATTTAAATACTGTTGTTTTCTTGTAAGATATATGTTCATTTCATAGACTAGATGTCAGTCTAGCGATTCAGATACTGAACTCCATCTTACCGAGTCCTCATCACAGTACCCTATGTTCTTTTATTGTTTGAGGTTTAAATATGCTACAGACATCTAACTGCAAGGTGTATTTATTTCATTTCCAAATCAGCAATCAATGTGGAGTTCTTTATCTTTGAATTCTATTTCTTCACGATTGTCCGTACGTCCTCGTATAGGATGTTACTGAAATGAAGAGTCATTGTTCAATATCATTACAAAGAAAAATAATATACTGAGTTAGTGAGTCATTACAAGCATTCCTTCCAAACATTGCCAACCTATCAACACTTGGAATAACGTTTAATTTATAAAATTGGATGCAAATAACACATGAATATATTCATAGCGATTGTAAACATACACAAACAGAAACAAGATCAACGTACCCAGTCAAACTGTCGAGATGGGTAGAAACTCGAGGAACGTCTACCGAGGCCAAACCTCCGTTGTTTCCTCAGCTGGCTCAGTCGTCTACTCCCGAACATGTCCGTTACTCCCCGGCCTCCGAGGATGCCACCTTGTCCATTATATCTATTGTTCAGCTGCCTGCTGCTGAATCCGTAACGACTGCTTCTTACAACAGCGATTCTACTTCCGGTACGACCACGAGACATTCTACTTCCGGTGCGAGACGAGAATAAGGTCGACCTCTTCCGGCCTGAATAACGAATTTACTGGTCGTGTCAATATCATGTCAAGTATTTCATGGGGACACGGGTGGCCCGGTCGTCCGAGGCGCCGCGATTCGCTGTGCAGAGTTGCGTCCCTTTGGCACTCCAGAAACCTATGATTGTGGGATCGAATCCCGGTTCGCCCCGATTATGGTCCTAGGTTTGTCAGCACCATACCCGTGCTCGTGGGTTTCACCGAAGTGGTAAACGTCTGAGACCTGCATCGCTTCGGGCTTTCCTCCCACATTAAGCTGACACGCCGTGATATAACGTGAATACTGTTAAAAGCGGCGTTAAACCCAACTCACTCACTCACTGAAGTATTTCATGCAAACGTCAAAATGATGATAATGTTTTCGTTATTATCAGAAAGTGAGTGAGTGAGTTTGTTTTTGAACAGTAATTCGGTTATATCACGGTTGGGCAGCTTGGTGTGGGAGGAACGCCCGAAGTGATGCAGATCTCGTTTACCACTTTGGTGAAAATCCACGAGCACGGATTTGATGCAAACGAACAGGAATCATTGTTTCCTGGCATGCCTAAGGGACGCAACTCTGCACATCGAATAGCGGCGCATTAGACTATCAATTAAAAGAATCATAGATAATGTCTCTTCAAACAACGTTGTGCTCTATCTTTTCACGTTTGTGTTCGTACATATTACTGTTTAAAATATTTAATTGGGGTATATGACCTAGGATAATTTCATTGATCACACAAATATATGCACACATTACATTGTCCTTAGGAATAGGTGGTGGGGGTGGTAGTGTTAGTGGTTGATTCCGGGTGGTCAGGCTCTGTGACTTTGCTGACTGCGTGCCATCGTGCTCATCTGGCGAAGATTGATGCTCATGCTTTCAGTCATTGGTTTGCCTCGGATAGTCTTGATTAGTTACGGGTGCAGTGATGTAGCTAACATCTGCTGACTACGGCATTAAACAA